ATCTTCAGCATATATCGTTCCGTACCTATGTCATGGCTGCACTCGCAATAACGTGTACCTTCGACGGAATGTTATCCAGCAGGCTTCACCACGTCCTTGTGTAATGCTGCCGTTCACCTTTAACGAACTCATTGTGACCCACAAACAATGTTGCTCTGAAGGACCACGCCACGAGAATATGTCGGTAAAACTGATCTGCTCAACGTGTTGCCGATGGTGAACTATAATTACCCTAGTTTAACGTATTTTCGAAGTTTCTCGGGCAGCATTTGGTATAGTGACACGATTCTATTATTAGTACGCTTCGCTCGTCATCGACCAGCGAAAAATGTGGGCGATAGAAAGTGACATTCTTCCGAAAACTCGAATATTTCTTCGAATAAGATTAAACGTACTGCGATCTTCGGGTAGGGTCGTCAATCCCTGCGCAAGCATTCCTGTTTTCCATTAATGCTTTTTTTTTCTGTCGTTTCTCATTCGTTCGTTGCATGGAGGCGCTTTGCTATGTCACGTGGTACACTGTTGACAACGTCAGAGCAGAGTCGTCTACGTAGAGGGCCAACGTCACTGCATTGCCGCGTACGTAAGGCCAATCATACGCGCACGCCATGCCCTCATTCTCTGGGCGCGCGCCCGCAAAAGGAAGGGGGAGCAACGTTCATCTTAAAATTTGACCTATTTCCGCAGTGCGTAGCGTTGCAAATTTTGGCAGACGTGATCATGAACGCCTCATCTACGCATTGCGTTTGTCAGCTCAAAATTGTCAATCCTGATGAGTGGCCCTTTAATGGAGAAGAAATAAATGCTGGTCTTGTTCTGCTGTCATCACAAACGTATAGAAGCCGCAGCTTTTCGACTCTATTCAAGGTTTCCCTAAATAAATAAATGAATAAATTAGATGGAGCGATCATAAATACCAGTCAATGTGAAATGTAAGGAAAGGCACGAGGTCACCGATGCATGATATCAATGAAGACGCGCTTAGAAACTTAAATGAATTATGTTAAATAAGTCTCACTTTCACTTTCACTTTCACTTTATTGACTCACTTTATTTCACTCACTGGTGCTCATACATTGATTCATCGACAGCTGGATGGTACTTGAGCTTCCATTAGTGTCCTGCAAGGCATGCGTAATTCCTGTTTCTATTTATTGTAACGAAGAGCGGCGCGACAGCTGTGGGCAATGTGCTAGCCAGCGAGGAAGAAGAGGCAGAATAGAACAGCTTGCCCGGCGAACGACTGAATATCGGCACTTATTATATCCCCAGCATCGATCCTTTTGTGACACACGTAAACTAGAAGTCGCAATTACGAGGCTGCACTGTACGGGTGCCCAAACTAAATTTCTACCAACACCGGTCTGGTTAGGCTCTTTTTCAATGTGCGCTTTCTGTGGTGAGCCAGAAACTATGGATCATTACTTTTTGACATGTAGACGATTTACTACAGCTCGTAAATTCAAGTTAGAAAACCCCTTATGTGCTATTGGAATGAATTTATCCATGCCCGTGATTCTGTCCTTTGCAGCCTCTATTTCTGGATTTGCCATTGGGAAAGTTTGCGAGGCAGTGCGGAATGATCTGAATGAAACGAAAAGACTAACAGACTAAAATTATTCTTCTGTGTCGACATACGCATAATTTCTCTCTTTTTTTTTCCTTTTTAGAAAGCTAGGTTTTGATCTAGGTTATTATCTATAAACAAACTTTACAGTAAGTACAGGTCAGTGATCATCAAATATTCATTCAAAAATTTGTAACGTTTTCAATTTGTAAGTTCCTTTACTCCAAGATCGAATAATTCTTTATAAGATCACTCCTTTATTGGCCGATCTCCCACAGTGGGTATGAGCCACTAGCGAAGGACAACAAGAACAATAACAAGAACACGGGTGTTGTGTCTGTGTCGCTCATATAATGGCACAGCCGTTCATCGAACCTTTGCGCGACGACCTGCATGAAGAAACCGTCCTACGGAGTGGACGCACTGTCCAGCAGCCTGCAGGTCCTGCTACCGTGGCCATGGCATCCGACCTGGCCATCGCGGGTACCGAAGCCAGTGCGCTGCCTGCAGGCGTCCTTGCCAAACCACAAGGTGACTCCACTGAATTGGCTTCGCAAACCGCCTCTTTGTCCAGGGACGCCGTACACGCTCCCTTGGACTTCGCCTCAGGTACCATCCCTGGAGCAACGTCAGTACCGTCGCCAGAAGATAGGCGTAATTCCTCGCCTGTAACCGCCAGCGAACTCTGCACGGTTCTGCAGGCCATTGCACTTCGAGCCAGCGCTTTGAAGACGCCACAGTCACCTTCTCAGCAGCCTGTGCATGTACCCCATTGCCTCCTCCGTCCATGGCTGAAATTCCTGACTTTACTGGCGTTCATGAAGGCCCAACAGACTGGCTGGATGAGATACATTCGTTGTTGGCCCGTCGACATGCTTGGACTGATGACGTGACGCTATCGCTAGCCGTTAGCCAACTGAGCGATCCGCCAAAGCGTGGCATCAATACGATGGCACAACTCCTGGAGTGACTGGACTACAGCGTTCGTCACGGCCTTCCAACCACTTCCATCCGCATACGACGACCATTTCATGCGCATGCGATTGCGTCGGCAGGCTCCATCGGAAGACGCGCGTAAATACGTCTGACGCCCGTAAATACCCGTGAATTGGTCCGGCTAAGCTCCGAGTGAGTGCGATTGAGGAAACTTATGGTGAATCCGAGTCTGATTGGCGAAAGTATTAGCGAGTCCGTCTGAGCCTCAAGAAAAATTTATTGAGCTTGATTTTGGAGAATGAGTTCAAAGCGAAAAATATATTCCTCGATTGGGCCTGAGCGAGCTCAATTCATTTTGCCGACCTGTGCAGGCTGGGAGGTCTTTACTTGCTTGCCTTTCGCTAACAGCCTTACGGGCAAGCATGCCTCGGGAATCCGCGCATACACACCACCCTATGTGAGAGGCAACGTACTCCAAGTTGCCAGCAACTCCTCTTTCGTTTTCTCCGAAGCACTGAGCGGACGGAAGCCGCGCCGACGTCAGGCTGCTGTTTCTACGGATTGTTTACATCTCGCGTCCACGTCACTCCGAGTGGTGTGTCCCTTCCCGCGGCGCAAGAAGGTACACCGTGAGTGCATTTTGAACCAGCCGCTTCGCATATAAGTTATCTAGGGGCAACACCTATCGTGTTCCTTTACATCACCATGTGCGTCGTCCTTAATTTAGGTTGAACCCTTTTCATAAGCCTCCAGCTTTGGCTCCATCAGGTAAGTGCCGGTAAGACGCAGCTGTTACAAACCTTCCTCTTGAGGGTTAGTGGAAGATTACCACTCATGATTTGAGAATGCTAGCCGAATTCAATCCACCCTATCCTTATAATTATTTCACTCTCATCGTTCGGCTCCGCGGTTACTACCTGTTCTAAGTAGGCGTATTCCTTTACAACTTTCTGTGTGTCTCCACCTATCGCAAAGCTCTGTTCTCTGCCAAAACTGTTGTACGTTATTTCAATTTTATGCTTATAATTTTCAGACCTACTGTTTTGTTTTCCGTGTCTAGTTCAGTAATTATGACTTGCGATTTGTCCCCCGAGTTACTCATCAATATAATGTCATCCAGGTGACCACGATGTAGATATGCAAAACTGAAAATTTTCGTGGGGTTATCTCTCTCTCCCGCCCTCCGGCTAAGCCTGTGGCTTCGGGTGGCTTGAAGTTGAAAGAACAATCGGCAAATGTTCAGCAGTTGCACTTCACTACTTCAACCTTTTTGGCTTGCCATTTCAAATCGACTCACGAAGTTTGTAACCGTCCTTTGTTTCATTCAGAACAAAACGAAGTCGCAAATGCGTTCGAGGCCAATAATAGGCAAATCAACCGATCATTCCTATGGTCGCTGAACGATCGCAGCCCCAGAGATCCCTCTAGTTAACTTTAGGAAGCTCTATGGATCAAACATGGGAAACAATCAGCGACGTTTCGATTACTGATATTTCCAAAACCCATTTCAGGTCTGCCGGTGCTACAATATAGGCTTGCGACACCTTCAACCACCGTGTTGTTTCAGCTTATATTGAGCGCCACTACACACTGTTTAAGGCAACACAGCACAGTACACGCACGCGTGCAGGTGCTCAGATACGGCATGCTGGTAAATAACTTACTTGGAAAATCATTTGCATGCATACTGTGATATGCGTGGAGAGGCTCCAACGTTGGGGCGCCAATAAAAAAAAGTAAACGGAATATATTCCAATGAAAATCACGTAAAGTGCGTGGAACAACACGATTATCTGCTGCTCCAGGAAGGACGGCTTTATGACGGAGTGCTTTCTCTTTTCTTCTCTGGACTACATTGCTGAGGATGCCCCTGTCCGAGCAAGGATATGTATCATGCAAGGACGCCACCTTAACCCCTGGCAACAGTATAGTGCTGCAGCTTGCGCAACTGCCTGGCACAGAACCACATCCTTTGGAACCTGTTTTTCTTTTTGTTCTCAAACACTTTTCTAAAATATCGTCGCTGACGCCTTTATTATAGTATGATCGGCAGCGACTGTAAAGTCGCTGTCGATCATACTATAATAAAGGCGTGAGATATATATATATATATATATATATATATATATATGATTCAAAAAAGAAATTCTGTGGGTCCGGTGCAAATATAATTAAGAATAAAGGAGCACACTTACGATAATTTGATAATTGTTTACTCTACGTTTCCACGTAGAGTATATATATATATATATATATATATATATATATATATATATATATATATTCTTGATAGAAGAGTACTCTAGGAACTTCTTCAAGCACCCCACCAGAAAGCTAAGTGCGTCCTTTGCCTGGAACACTTTTGACCAATATCTCATGCTTATCTTCGCCGCATTACATCCTCCTTTGTCCTGAACAAAGTGATGCAACCTGGATTAAGGGATGTCACGCATTAAGCATCTTGTTTATATATGTCGCGCGTACAGCGCAGCGAGGACTTGACAGCCCCGACCCTGACAACCATGAGGATCGCCATCATCGGCCAGAGCGCTTTCGCCAGCGAGGTGCTGAAGCTGCTGCAGAAGAACGGACACGACATCGTCGGCGTCTTCACCGTTCCCGACAAGGATGGCCGAGAAGACGCCCTGGGTGAGTCTTATTCACCTGTCGAACCGTGGGACGTATGTGACGTCACATTTCGTGGAATATTTTCGGACGTGTACGCGCTTTTTTTTTGCGTGGGGGGAGGGGGGGGGGCAGAGATTTACGTAGATGTCACTATAAGTTGAGTAGTCGGTCTCTCCAGAATGCAGCTTACTGACTAATTAGTCACCGTTAAAATCCATACCTTCTGATAGCGCTACTGAAACACGCCGACGGCAAGGGTCTCCCTTTCTGACGAAAGCTCCACGCGCGTTTTCATCGCGATGCTCAGTTTAACTTATTCTGCCTAGCTGTGTACAACGCATGAGTTTGAGAGACGTCGTTCACTAATTAATGTAAAGATTACAGGGTAATATACAGACCAATAAGTTTGCAATAAAAAATCACTGGAGGAAACTACATGGGTGCTTCAAGTGTGTGGCGTTTTCAGAATCGCGAGTTGAGCTTGTAGGAGGGTGTTCATCGTACAATAACTTACAACAACGCAACGCAGTGGGGAGGGGGGGGGGTTGTGGGACTTAACCAATTTTCGTGGCGCACTCCCGTTTACGATAGGCCACCACTCTATGATGGCAAGGTGCTTGGAACACACGTGTAGAGAGAAAGAAGATGATGTGGGCAGTCTCCTGTTCCAGGTTGGGTGCCCAGCAACTCCACCACTCTGCAACGTGGTTTATTGGCGACAGGTAGCCCTTCACCGCAAGATTTACAGACGCTAAGAACGCAACCAGGTTAGAAAAAGGCGGCGCTAACCTGTCCGGAATCACAGTCGTAGCACCAACAGCTCGGCTCCTCTTGCTAAGGTCATGAACCACTGCGGCACATGATCTTCTTCCTCTCTACTCACGTTTATTTCCATAATACGCGCGTGACTTACTATACGGATCCAACAACAGAGCAGTGTTAGAAAAAATATGCATGCGTAGTATGAGACCCGGACACGATCGATAAGAATAACAAAAATGACGGCAGTCTATGGTGGCTGGATAATTATGGGGCTATTGGAGCGCGCACTCTTTTAGGGCAATATTGGATCGGTGCTTACCGGAGAGCCACGGAAGGATGTTCAGAGTTGAATATTACTTATGCGCTCTATGAAATTTTGGAACTGGAACATACCATTTCGCCCCTCAGTACAGGTTGACTATAGCAAGGAAGAAAAGTAAAAATAAATGATCTTGCAGTCTGTTATATTTATTTTGTTTGTTCATTTATTACAACCCTAAGGGCTAGTACACATAAAAGAGAGAGTGATTACGATAAATGAACGAAAAACATAAAAGCAGATAGAACATTCATTACAAAGGCTTGCGACTATAGTTTTGGCTAAACTTTAACAAAGGCATATAACGCGTTCCCACTCAAATGATAAACAATAACAAAAATGCACTAAGGTTACATACGTAGCCCTGAATAACTAAATGTTCTTGCTATGCCCAAGCAAAGTAAAAACAGAGGAGGAAAGTCCGTTTATACAGTCTTGGTTAAACCTGCAAACAAATGATTATCATAAATTGATACGATGTTATCAGGAAGGTGGTTTTCTTCAGAGAATTATCAAAGAGTAACTGACCTTATTTATCCCTGTCTAAAGCTTATTGGCGCACTTCCTATGGCATCCCCAATGTCTTATTTATTTGCACGTGAGCTGTCCCAGATGAACAACGACCGGCTGATAACGATTATCGTGATCATTGCAGCGACCACGGCGTCGGCGTGTGGCGTGAATCGCGTGCTGAAGCTTGGCCGCTGGCGATCCAAGGCTGGCGGCGGCGTGCTGCCTGAGGTGATGTGCGCCTACGAGGAGGTCCAAGCCGAGCTGAACGTGCTTCCTTTCTGCAGCCAGTTCATACCGATGGAGGTACCACCACTTGGCCCTTTAGACACACAGCTGCGCTCGGTGTGGAAATGCATCGTATCCGCTGCGGCTAATGTTAATGTACCGGACACTTGGACGGGGCGAACATTCTCTTGTGTGTCTATGGAACTGTGCTGCAATGGCCGGCAAGCGGTCGCTTATCGGATTCAGCATGTAGCGGTGGCGCGAAGAAGTACGGGGATACAAAAAGAGAAGGCTGTGCACTCTAAAAAGACGCCTAAAATGTTTGTATAGTGCGCACACTCTACTTTCTTTGTACAGTCTGCATTCACACTCAAAAAGTAAAGAAAAAAAGAAAGAAAGAAAGAAAGAAAGAAAGAAAGAAAGAAGGAAAGAAAGAAAGAAAGAAAGAAAATTGAACTAAAGGAAAAGTTACTCGTCCAAGCATCCGTTTTAGGAATTTCGTACCTAGTAGCCTTCTTCAGATCATGTCTGACCTTGTAGACCTTTTTTACGGAAAGGAGGATTTTCTCCTTTCTGGGGAAGCGGTCAGAGCAGACCACGGCGGCGCCTAGGGAGCCTTGAGTGAAGAAAAGGCCAATACGGCGCCACTCGTGGTCTTCCATGCCCCCGTTCCATCACGTCCCGATTCACCACGTATTGAATTGTACAGGACGAAAGACGAAGAGAGGGGTTCGTCTTCCTGTATTTTGTGCAGCACAATTCGATACGTTTTGAATCACTAGCCCGGCTGTCTGTTCTGTTGGCGAATCCGGAGTGCTGATTTTCAGTTTTCAGTCTGAAAGATTAGACAACGGCATTAAAGACCGTCTCTTCATAGTCATTTCTTTACGTTTCAAGAATCACATATTTAGAAAACGCATACGCACCGTCTAGCCTAAGAGCAAGTTTTTATGAGGATAAACAGTGAAATAAATAAATAACAAACAGCGTCCTTTTATTTTTCAGAAATATGAACCATATGGCTCGCCCAATCATCCGTTTTAAACAAGGTCTGTTTTGTGAAATCAATTTCGACAGCCTAGATTTCTTTAACGTGTGCCTAAATCCAAGTGAACGGGCTCTTCTTGCTTTTACACAACGGAAACAAGGCCCCCCATGACGGAGAATGAAATTCGAATCCTAGCACTTAGTGGTGCGACACTTGTCACCGCGGTTGCGTCACTCCTATAAGTACACTAGTCGCCTGTCTTGCTTGCACACTCTGCATTCGTTAGTGTTCTGTCGAGAATCCCGACTACTGCTTGAACATAAGCTTCGCAAGTCCCTCCAAGTTTTGTTCAGCTGGCCCGAGCTGAATACTGCTTCCAGGAGGCAATCAGCCCAACATAGCTTGTTGTAAGATGAGTCATCGTCCGTTTCAATCCAATTAGCTATCGCTGTGGATCGGCTGTTTTCGTTTACCGTCAACACAGCCCTGCGTAAACAAAGTTGTACGATTCACCCTCATGTCGCACATCTCGCATTGGTCATAACGTGCAGCCTCACAGCGACGTGTCTTTCACATCTAGTCTCTGATTTTATTTTTAGCATGATTTTCTTGACAGAAGCAAATAGCAGCGTCGTGCAGCATCAGCAAAGTCCACGCGCGTGTCTTAAAGGACCACTCAACACCCCTAGTAACTTCAAAGGCGAAGGGGGGCACTAAGGAACTAAGAAGGAACTAAGGGGCGAGCAGTACGCGATGCGTACTGCTCGCCCCTTAGTTCTTAAAAGAACGTGAACAATGTCAGCACTAAGCCTATCAGTATTTCACGCTCCTCAGCTACACGCTGTTATCGCCGTTGGCACTGTTGTAAACACACAAACACAAAATGTCGCCATCGGCCATACCACGCTGAATGCGCCGGTTCTCGTCCGATTGCCGAAACCGCCCCGCCGCGGTGGTCTCGTGGCTAAGTATACTCGGCTGCTGACTCGCAGGTCGCGGGATCGAATCCCGGCTGCGGCGCCTCCATTTTCGATGGAAGCGCAACTGCCGTGGGCTTGTGTACTCAGATTTAGGTTAGGTGGTCGAAATTTCTGGAGCCCTCCATTACGCCGTCTCTCATAATCCATATGGTGGTTCTGGGACGGTAAACCCTTCATATCACAAAATGTATTGTGATCGGTTGATCGTGCACGATTTTCATGCGAGACAAGGAAGGACGGATAGATGGTCGGCTGCGTGGCAAAGCAGTGCAGGAGACAAATCACATTTCATATTTCGCGTATATGAACCAATCGAGAGTATGAACGCTATAGACGTTACGAAAACTGCGTCACAGAAGCGCGCAAAAAGGACAGGATATGTGAAAATATTGCTCTCTTTTTTTTGTATTTTGAGAGCTTGCTGAGTGGCCCTGTAACGGCGACCGCTGTGTATCGAAGAAAAGCGCTTCTTGCCCGAAAGGCGAAACCGGCTGCGGCCGGTTGAAACCGATCTCGGCCCCATTTTCGGAACGGCCTCCTCGACGCGGTCCGCGATAAGCAAACGCGTTCTCCTGGGGCACGTGTTGGTCCACTCCCGTCTCGATTGAGTGAGCAGCGTGGCAAACAGATTGCGGGGTCTGTCTGTTTCGTTCTTATCCGGAGTCTCACGGTTAAGGTCCGTTTGCATCTCTCGTAGACACGTGACCCGAACGGAAAACGTCACGTATGACGTCATCGGTGGGGGAGGCCCGCCGCAGACGACCATGACTGTTGCTGCTCCTATAATCTCTATCTTTTACTTTCCTAATCTTTATTCCCCTTCCCCCATACCCCTTCAAGGCACTGCGCCATGTCGCCCTACGGCTGAAAGAAATTAGGCGCCTTTTAAATTCGAACCACTTAGCAAACTTCAGTGACTTTGGCCCTATCTATCTATCTATCTATCTATCTATCTATCTATCTATCTATCTATCTATCTATCTATCTATCTATCTATCTATCTATCTATCTGTCTGTCTGTCTGTCTGTCTGTCTGTCTGTCTGTCTGTCTGTCTGTCTGTCTGTCTGTCTGTCTGTCTGTCTGTCTGTCTGTCTGTCTATCTATCTATCTATCTATCTATCTATCTATCTATCTATCTATCTATCTATCTATCTATCTATCTATCTATCTATCTATCTATCTATCTATCTATCTATCTATCCGCCTATAATTTTCAGCTCTCCAGGGTGTTTGGATAATGCGAACTATACCAAAATTGGTATGCCATAACGTGACTGTATAACAAGCCTAAGCGACTAGTCATAACATAAATATGTATGTCATGAATGTCATAATTTACATTTCATAGCCTTGCTGCTCTACCGGTGCTTCGTTGACATGACATGTCGCAAAACTGGTATGGTATGGCATGACTGCATGGCGAACACAAGCGACAGACCCTAACACAGAAATAATGACATGCGTGTAATGTAACAACATGACTACATTCCACGCTCATGATGCGCTTGCGGCCGTTTCGCTAGCTTCACATATACCAAATTTGGTATTACGTGGCACGAACGGACGACGAACGTAAATGACAAGTCCAAACATGATAATCTTGGCATGCGTGACTACATGCTATGCTCATAGCGTGCTCACGGCCGTTTCACTAGTTACACATATACCAAATTTGGTATTACGTGACGTGAATGGAAGACAAAGGTAAATGACGCGTGCAAACACGATAATCATATGCGTGTCGTGTGAAATATGACTGCATTCTACGCTCATAGCGCACTAGCAGCCGTTTTTTTTCTCCACATATACCAAATTTGGTATTACGTGACGTGAATAGACGACGAAGGTAAATTACACGTCCTAACATGATAATCATGGCATGAAAGTCTTGTATGGCCTAATTTACGTCCGTCTGGTAACGTTGTGCTGATTTTAATGTGACCTATCACTCGTGCTCCGGATATCATCGATTCCCACTCTACGTGGGATCCGCCTTTTTTTTTTTTTTTTCCCCCTTCTTCTGACCACCACCAGTAGCGACGCCCGCAAAATGAAGCAGCGTAGCGTAGCTCACGGGGGCCCCTATTGACGTGGAGAGGCCCTATCTCTCGAGAGGAAGGTATACACAACAGCTGCATATTACCGGTGCTTACCTATAGAACAGAAAAGCTGGGGGCTTATGGAGAGGGCTTATCTTTAATCGAGGACGATGTAGAGAAAAATTGCAGGTGTAATCTTAGGATACAAGGAAACAGCAAGTCAGGGAACAAACGGGTGTTAATGATATCATATGTTGGAAATCGAGAAGAAGAAATGGACATGGGCCGGGCACGTGGCGCGATAAGGGGAACTGACTGGATTCCAAGAGAAGGCAAACATGTCTGGTGGGCAAATGAGAAGTTTGCAGGTGGCAGCAGCAAGTGCAGAACCGGCTTGGTTGGCGGAACGTGAGAGAGGCCCTGAAGTGAGCGTTGCCAGCCTCGACATGATCATCATCATGAATTCATGGTCAACTACTGATAAATATCGAAGTTTGTGCAACGTTGCGAAGAATCTCGTTTTTCATTCAAGTTGTAAGACATCAGTATTACGTCATACGAGGAGTTACTGCTCGGATCATCTTACGCAAAGTTGGAATTTCCCAGATGTGTACGATGCTATGCATGTCGGCCTCGCATTACCGCCGCGAAATAGTTCAACTGAAGTCTACTTGGAAAGTGTTGTCGTTTTGTATTTGTTTAGCACTGCCTATTGTAACATGCCTCTATTTCATTCTGCAGCAGGCTTAAAGCGATAAACGTGACCGATGAGCAATGCTAGCACAACCGTCTCTCAGATTCACGGAAGCGGTGTGCGAAGGCTTTTCAATATCGCCATGCGTTCCATGGGTCATCAGCAAGGACACGGCATGTAGCTGTTTCACCGTTGTCTGCCTAAACCACACACGTGACAGAACAAAATCTAATCCACGGGGAAGTAATTGCAGCGCAGAAAATTAGAATTACGCTATTTTCTACTGCCCCTATTTAAGGGAGCATGGACCATCGCCACAGGAAAGGTAACCGAGGCGAAGGGAACGCGAATGCAAGAGAGGTGCAAGCGAATCTGAACAATTTTTAGACAGAAGAGTGGACCATCTCTGAGTGAATGAAGTTTTGGCTAGCAGCTGCCACGGTGGTACGGTGCTTACGTTTCTGGGCTGCTAACTTGAAACTCCTGGGGCCGGTAGTTACAGCGCGAGAACGAAACGACGACACAGAGACAAGAGGGACACCTGCGTCGCCGTTTTGTTCTCGTGCTGTAACTACCTTCCTGTCATACCAACTAGCCCAAGCTGCCACACTCTCGGGGCCGAACACGACTGCGGTGGTCGTATCTTCATGAAAGCTAAATGATAAGGGCTCATGTAAGTGTACACGTAAAATTGTTATTATTAAATATACTTCTTACACGAGAAAGTCAAAAAAGAAGAAATATGCCTCGTTTGGAGTTATGGCAACATCGGCGATATATCTGTAGCTCAACGGCCCCATCGGCCGCAACGGCCAAAGGCCTGTTTTGTGTCGAAGCTGAGCTCGGACACTACGGCTGCTGACATCAACGAACATCTCACTTAAATGGATCGTTCTCCCACCTCTTGCAGGCGCCTTCAAACTGAATTTCAGACATATTCATCGTTCTACATCGAGGTTGACGAGGAAACACTACAGCGCCTAAATGACACTTCGATGTAGCCTCTCTTGAAGCCTTCTCGTTGGGTGTTTTATCCCTTTGAGCTAGTGCCTGGTGTGAAATGTGCTGTGTAACGTAGACATGTTCTATCAGAATGCTCGTGGTCTGCGTACCCAGACAAATGAGTTTCTGGCTAACGTTTTTTTTTGTCTTTTTTATTGTTGCTATTACTGAAACCAGGCTGGGTCCTGAAATTCGTTCATCTGACTTTTTCCCCCCGACCACCTTCCACAGTGACCGAGATTTCAGGGCAACCAAACAGAAGCGCGCTGGCGTGATGGTTGCCATTGACAGTTCACTGAAATCTACTCGACGGAAAGACCTATAATCTTTCGAAGAAAAATGGTCTAGTTAGAAATCAACTTTGATTGCCGAGAAAAATTGTTAATTGTATGTTTATATTTACCGCCCAGCGTTACCCCTGCCAAGTTTTATGCTGTCATGCCTTTCATTGAACATGTAATATCATCCCATAGTGGGCACAGAATTACTGTTCTTGGCAGCTTCAATATGCCTGGAATTGACTGGAGCATGCTTACCTTTTCTCATTAAAATTACTTCATTGAGAAAAAGTGCAGCCTGATGTTGGAGCTTGTGGCATTTAATTCCCTTCTGCAACATAACACCGTCGTCAATCGCAGAGACCACGTCATAGACCTCTGTCCTTTAAACGATCAACCTGTTGAAGTTTCATGCTCCGAAATCTCTCTTGGTCGTCCGGAAAATTCTACTCAGCACTTAATGTGCTGAAACAACGTGCTACAATGGTAGTTTTAACCGATCTCGAATATTTACTTTCAATAAAGGCGACTACACGGGCTTTCATTGTTACTTGTCAGCCGTTGATTGGTCACAGGTTACTGACAAACCAAATGTTGATGATCAAGTTGAGCTGTTTACAGAGCTTTTGTTAAGTAGAATGCGTAATTTTGTTTCGAAATATACACCTAAACATCGTAAATATCCCCACTGGTTTTATATTTAACTTAAAAGTGCACTGAAGCATATAAAGAGATCGCGCGCACAAGAAGGCTAAATGTTCTCCATTCAGCAAGTGGAAGGCATAGTTCAGCTTTTTCTGAGCTATCTCTAAATGTCTATGAAAACGGGATTGCAGTTAGTATAGTGCCTTATTAGAAAAAGATCTTGCTGACAGGCCAGCTGAGTAATGCACGCAAACTATCTAGCAAAAGTGGGAAGTTCTTCAGGCTATACTGAATTCGGATAGTATCGAAGTGCATGCCGTCATTTACTCTCTTGCCACGAATTTTTCATTCGTTTACAAGACCTCAGACTCTAGAAACTCAGTACGGCAGCCCAAGGATGTTAGTACATCTAGCGGTCAATCGCTGGATCAAAAGCTAATCTGCTCATGCATTAAGTGCTTAAAACGGCCCTTATCATGTGGCCCAGATGGCATCCCTTCCGCCATACTAAAGACTCATGGTAGTATATTTATCCCAGTAATGACTACAATACTTATTAATTGTCTGAACAGTCTGAACGCTTCCACATTTCTGAGCATATGGAAAACTGCGCGTGTTTTCCATTATTAAGTCGGGCTGCAAAACTTATGTTTCTAATTATCGCCCGATTCCTCTACTGTGTGCCACATCGAAGATTTTTGAGCTGGCTCTTCACAACATATTGTATGTTAGCGTGAATAATTCATTGATTCCTAATCAACACGAGTTTCTCCCTGGTTGCTCAACTACCACAAGTCTGCTTTTTCATGACGCAAATCTCTTCACCTATTTCTCAGAGAAGACAGGTTGACGTAGTTTACTGAGACCTGAGCAAGGCTTTAGGCGTAATCAGCCACTCACTGTTTTTGGTTAAACTTGCCAACTTTGATGTTGACTCGTCTGTTGTGAATCTTCTGAACAGCTATCTGTTTAATAGATTATGTTATGTAGCCGTAAATGGCCAAACGTCTTCCTTGTACAAAGTGACTAGTTTTGCAAGTATATCTCGCAAAACATCCATCCATCGTGTCATTTTCATACTCACTCAATACTATGTCCTTATGTAAGGTTTATTAAATTAGTTATCTTGGTGTTCTTTCTGATAGCATGCTAAATTTTGCTGTTCACTATACACGTGCTCTCATTCGTTCTCTCGGCTGCGCTTTTCGAATCTCGAGAATTCAGTTATCCTACAGCCTTCCATAAATTATACACCACAATATGTCTTCCTCAGCTTGAATATGCATCTGTGATTTAGAATGGCATTGCTAAACTGGCAGTGGCACCATTGAGCGGGTCCAAAAAAACTCATAAGCATTTAAAACTATCGTTTTGTTAGAAATCACTCTGGATCTCGTTCCAGCACTGCCAGATTATTACCATTGGCATCATTTTTCTGCCGACGAAATCGCGCTGACCTGTTGATTTTTTTTACAAACTAGTTCGTGGTATGATATCCTGCTCTTTACTTCTCAGTTGTGTAAATTTTCGGATTCCGCGTCAGTTAACCAGACAGAATCGACCATTTCATGTACCTGCCAACTTCTGTCAACGCTCTACTGTTCACAGAATAGAAAGCCTCTATAACGTTACTTTCATGATCTTGATGTTTTTCACAGTTCACTGTCGTTTTTATCTCAGTTCTGCACTGTTTTAACGTAGTTTTTCACAATGTACAGATTCTTCCATTTTTCGTCTTCAGGAAGGTTTCTACACAGTTGTGTGTGTTCACTCCCCTTTAATTTTCACTTCCTTTCCATGGTTCTCGTCTTGTGTTTTTTCTTTGTTACCATTTTGCACCGATTTCTTATTTCATGCGTTTTCACTCTTTTTATTTCATTTTTGTGAAGGGTGTCTGTATTGTACTGTTTTATTCTTGCGTGCGCCTGCACTAAGACCTCGTGGTTGTTCCAGGGCACGTTGAATAAATTATATTATTATTATTATATTATTATATATTATTATTATTATTATTATTATTATTATTATTATTATTATTATTATTATTATTATTATTATTATTATTATTATTATTATTATTATTATTATTATTATTAAACGAGTTGAACGCTCGCTACGGAAGGCGACAACTCTAGATGGAACCCATTTCGTTGCTCGCACAGGTGATCACGTGGCCCAAGCACCAGTCGATAGTGTACCACCCGTCTCTGCTGCCGCGCCACAGGGGAGCCTCATCTGTGAACTGGTGAGAGTTCACGAGCATTGCGATACACTCGGCGTATCGAGTTGCGTGTTATAGGGGTCGAGTGATATGGAAGAACGTGATGTTTCGTTGGCGTTATCGGCACTACGACTACAGTCGGACATGCTCTGGGTCATTCCGTCCAAGTAAGGTGAATGCCAAGCTGAAGACGCGCTGCATTACGCAAACGGCGCCGTCGAAAAGTTGAGCCATTTGCGGTATTGGGACAGTACTGAACGTGAAGTGTCATTCCCAGCTCTGAGTGCTCGTTCCTGATAAAAAGTGAAAAAATTATCAAAAGTGCCAGTTGTATAACTGTTGGATTCGTGCACGCTAAATTGTATAATTTGTATATATTGTTTACTCGTTGTATCTTCTCTTATTACATTATCACCCATACTTCTTCTCATGCGATTAAGTGAGCCCCGTAACTGTCTGCATCAGAGCGCGACACCTCAACAGTAGCTCATAAGGAATGGTGGTAAAAAGGGATTAAAAGGATATGATTAATAGTTATATAAGTTAGAGGAAGGAGAGAGCGAGGCGCAGGGACAGCGAATGACGGAAGTAAAGAGGAGATAGGAAAGATAGACACAGTCGCAGGAGTCCGAGGACAGAGCACCACTCGGCGAGAGCTCTTGTCGGCGTCAGGAGACGACGTTGGGGGGAGCCCAGTCGGCCAGAGCTGCGCTGTCGTCGGAGGTTGCGGGGGCACAACCGCTCGACACGAAATCCAGCGAGCGAGTCGCGCATATAGTTGACGAATCGCAGCCTGCCAGTTTTCAAGGTATATTTGGAATAAGCTCTAAGACTGACGCCGACAATTAGGTTTGCGCCATCATTGTATATGAGTGTGGCACGTTTTTTTTTTTTTTTTCAAGAAAAGCTTCTAATTACCAGATTCATGTCACCGTCGGTGGAAAGGAGAAGCGCTACCGTCATACGGTACCGCCACGTACCGTATTCGCGTATCGTAGAACCGCATTCGCGTATCGTTCCCTCAAGTTGAGTGCTGGATCACGCCACCCCAGCCAATCACAAGCGCCTCCGGGGAAAGTAAAGATGGTTCGTTCGCTCCGAACACGGGGCGCTTTCGCTCGGGTCAAGCTCAGCGGAAGGTTGTGGATTCTGTTTCACAGGCGTTTCACAAGGTATTCATTCCGTTCAGAAGCACCGGCGACACCTGATTTCCAGCCACACGGGCTCTGTAACGTCATTGAGTTAGAACTGTTTAGGTTGGATTGAGTGGACGAGGATGATAGTCGACGTGTGAAGATATGGTGAAACGCATTACGACAGCGCATACCGTGTAAAGACGCGTTGTTTTGGTGGTGGGCGCCTGCAGGACCCTTATCGAGGGCGACACCAAGGGCGGCTTCAGCGTGTTCTGGGCCGACGATGGTCTGGACACGGGACCACTGCTGCTGCAGCGCGAGTGCGACGTCCTGCCCGACGACACGGTCGACGCGCTCTACTCCCGCTTCCTCTTTCCCGAAGGAGTCAAAGCCATGGTGAGCACGATGAGCAGCCATTGTCCGTGATTTTGTAGGGGCTCACGCCGTGGGTCGCATGTCCTGTGTCGTCGCAGTAGCCAGTTGCATTGCACTTCACGCCAATAAGAACGGTGTCACAGCATATCCACGGAGTGAATGATGATGAGTAGGGCGAAGCGTTCGTCAGTCCGTCTATCCGCTTCGCCCCACTAGTCATCATTCACCTCCTGGATATGCTGGGACTTTCTTTAGATCCTAAGCATCTTATGAGCTAACCTGATCCCGTGACGTCCGCGCTCCACTGCGCATGCGCCTACTCTCTCCCACTTTCCTATCCTACGCTGCCCCCTCTCTCGTCTCACAACGCTGACGCGTCTGCTATCCTACGCTCGCTCCCCTCTCCTTTCTCTAGGCATCCCTCCACACAGCATTTACAACCCCATTTGGCACGCGCATCCCCTCGCGTCTCGCAACGCAGGCAGCGTCTGCATTCTTGATTGAGAAAAAAAAAATACCGTTCACTGTTCATGTGCGCGCCGGCTTCGTGCGCACCTGAAGGCTCCCACTAGCCACCCCGTATGTATAGGCACTGGATCTTGACCTCGAAGGTAGTGCCGGTGGGAGATTTCTCTTATGAGTTGTTGAGCATTAGGAATTTGCAGCGCGCACGTTAACAAAAAGCGGACTGCGGGTCTCTGTGTCCAATCTTCGATCTCTTATTACCCATTAGCAGCGATTAGGTAGGGACCACTGGTTCATCACTGCTTGCTTTTCGCCTTCTCATGCAGGAAGTGGTGGTTAGTATACAGGTTTCTCTCCTGCGCAACACCGCGGGATGAGCGCCAGCGTAAGCACCCACTGCTTCGCATAGCGGGAGATGGTGCAATTTTTTTAAACGCACGTCCGTTTTGAGCATTTGTTCGACGATGTGGCACGCATATTATCTGGGAGAGTTTATTTGCACCTCAACAGCTCGGGTTCACTTTCACCCGTACGGAAACCTCGTATACGATATCAAAAACAGTTGTGCTTGGCCTTAGCTAATCTAACGTCGTAAGCACCAAGGTAGTTTAAGGGAAGCTTCCGCTGAGCACCTCCCTTCTTGAACCCCCCTCCTCCTCACATCATTACTCCTCGCCCCTTTCCCATTCCTTGCTGTAGAAATGGATGCATCCTCCCCCTCTTCCTTCTTTCCCAACATCTATCATTCATGAGCATGATATGCTAGCAGCTGCTTGTCCGAAGTGAGAACTGGCGCTTCCAAATGCCCGCTTTGCTACACGGAGAAGTAAGCTTTACGCTGTAAAACGCAAGGTTTTGCCTGGGTTCGCATAAATATGTCGCTGTTCTTTCAGAGCGATCGGTGTTTGGCCCGTGTCACCCCAGGACCATAAATCTACGAGCTTTCGAGGTTCACACGCACCTCCACATTGTCCGGCTTTGTACCGTAGCGTGCTTGGTTTGCCGAGCTTCCGCATGACAGTGAATTGTCTAACTGTCATTACTAACATCGGGCAGTTCAGCTCGTGCGCATCAGCGCATGTGTTCTGTGCGCGCCATCATCAAAAATTCGCTGATCAGCACTATACGAGTGTTTGCTTTCGACGTTGGCTGCTTCACCGGTTGGCACACCAAGCATGGATTGCGACAAAATTGACTCGGTCCGGTAGCAAAATGATACTACTGACTTTCCTTCCCTTCCCGGGCTACGACATCTTGAGAGGGCCATTTATTTCTCCTCTTGCTAATTTGAGCTTGTGCAGCATGCTGATAAGTTACAACGTAGAAAAAAGGTGGCACCCTTAGGGCTAAGTCACGTATAATTAAAAACTTGGAGCACTCTTGAGCTTCGCCTTCAAGGGCATACCACGGCCCGTTGGCAATGCATTTCCGATCGTTTGCCGCGCTTCGGTTCTCAGTGGACACATAAACTATGTCACGAGGAAAATAATGTCTGTGCGCGTAAAGCTCCATTCACACGACGGACGCAATCGCGGCCGGATAAGTCACGTGACATGTGACGTGGTTCGGATGCCTCCATAGGCAGCATTCACTCAACAGGGGAGAATTCATGCTATACAAGCGAGGATTTCCGCATCGGTCTCCGAGGATCCCAAGAGCAATTTGGGTTTCCGTGGTTTCACGAATCGGTCCGCGCCGAGCGAACGTATGGTGACGCAGTACGCGATCCGCAGGCTCCAATCGCGATTTGGTCCGTCGAATACACCTTAACATTTCCTGGAATGCCAACGGCAGGTGCCACATTTCATCATACTTGAAAAGCACCCCACTATGCGTATGCAAGGCACAATGCGCTTTGTTCGTGCTGTTTATGCTGCTGATCAATTATGCCTTAGCCTTTAAGGCTTAGCGCATTGTGATGCGTAAACCAACCACTTGATGCACGAATCGCATGGTGTGACGCATTGACGTGCAGCCAGGGAGATAAATCCAACCCCCTGAAAATTTTGCATGTGTATACGTGGCGCTAGATGTAACAGACGTGGCCTGGCTCATACGCCATGTGTTTGTTCTATTGCACTACAACGGCTTGTATACTAACCACCACTTCCTTCGTACTGATTTTACCCTCCCCCCCCCCTTCCCCCCGAAGAGTTGCGAGCAAGAAAATGTAAACTATAGAGACGTCCAGAAGCCACAAATGTCAAAAGGCACAATTGGTAATTCCATGGTCCTATGACGTTACTTAAACTCGCCAAGACTTCAGGGGAGGGTGCGGCAGTCCGGTAAATACTGGAGTTCTGGTGGGCCAGGCTGACTGTTGCGTTCTAGCCCGCATATTCATGTTCTAAACATAGACAATGCTGATAAGACTACTTGCATTCTTGCGAAGAATGGGCGAAAGGCCTTGCAGGCTCGGAAACTCAGTGTAAGTCGCCGTCTGTCCTGTGTGCGTGCTCGTTGTCGTAGCGTGATAGGACGGTGCCTGAATCTTTGTGGGGTAGAAGTAGTGACTTTTTTTTTCGGTGTTTGCTGAGGTGTTGGTGCGCACTTCTGACCTCTTGTGCAGGATGCGTTTCTGGCGATGATCCTTCATGCGAAAAAGCCTTACGCCTTGATTCGTTCTTGCTTTAATAGACTTGCCTTGTGACGTTGTCCTTCGTGGTGTGTCCGGTGGAGTGTCTGGAATTCTTGGCGTTGCTGATGGCGTCGCAGCTGACATTGCTAATAACGCTGGGGAACGTGCTCGGGTGGGAGCCCTTCTTGAACATCGCGCTGGTTTTCTTGGCAGTTTGATGTTGTGTCCAGTGGGTAGCTGGTAGTCATGCAGTCGAGCATTGAAGGCAATCTTCCAAAGTTGATAGAAAGCTGAGGCTTCGTATACGCCGTTCACTATGATGGGTACTTGCACCTGTCTATCAACATGAGCCGCCTGTGTCTCTTCAATCGTCGTGTTGGAAGGGGTGTGGCTTGACAGGGTATCTTCCCGATATTCAAGCCGGCCTGTCATGCGTGTGGTGGTTTCGTGAGGCGTGCCGGGAAAGTAAGGGGTACTAGCAGGGCTTCTTGACTAGGTGGTGGCCTACGTAAGCAAAGTGAATAATAAATAAAGTCCATGGGATCATTGGCTAATGGCTGGACATTTGTGTTGCAGTCAAGAGGAAAGCGTAGGTGATATTTGCGCAGGTGAGAATACCAGGTGGTAGGTTGTGTCTTGTGAGGGAACAGACTGGATGTCTTTCCGTGAGCAGATCGCTGACTTCGCCTGACAGAAATTGTAAATTTATGCTCTGTGCTTGAATGCGTGAAGGCTGCCTATGATGACAAAGTTTGAATGTATTGATATGGTGGGATATATTAGAATCTTGATTATAGTCTCGAAACCGCATGATCATTTCCTCTTTTATCTTTTGCCACGGTTCATTGTTTTCGAATATGTGGTTGAGGTAAAATTTTAATTCCTCACCGGTTACGTAGTCGGTGAAGTTTGTGACCATCTCCCGTTCCGACCAGGATGCAGCGGCGGCGTGGAGCTCGACGAAGTTGAAGAAGTCCTAAACGGGTCTGTCGTCCGCTGACCAGGGAACTTGAGTATGTCAAGGTCAAGCGATGGCTCTTTCATGGTGCTGGTCGCTGTGTACTGCTAGGAGATGATTCGGTAGTCGATGTATGGTCAGGGCGTCTTGTGGAGAACTTCGTCGATGATGTACGACTGATGAAGTGGCTGGCAGGTCTCCATCCTGCCGACGCTAGATTTGACAGACGTGGCCTGCCTCATACGCCATCTGATCAAGGATGATGATGATGATGATGAATCCACAGCCATGGCTTATACGCGCTCCTGGAGATTAGCCAAGAATCGATTACTTAATTCATATTAAATATATCTACCTCCCCTCACTAAAAAAAAGAAAAAGATACCCTAAATAGAATGAAAGGAGTGCAATAATTGTTTGTCACTTGTTCAGATCACACAATGCACTCATTATCTTGAATAGGAATTAGCGTGGTTAGACAAAGCTCCTGTTCATGTTGGATTATTTCTGCAGGAATAATGTTTATTCTATTGCACTTTTTCCTTATCGGCTTCTGCTAACCACCATTTCCTTCGTTTCGTCACATATATACACGCATACAAACAGATACCCGAACACACATAAAGTGTGGTTGATTACCCCCCTCCTCCCCCGAAAAAAATGCCGGATCTTTACTGTTGCGACGCCTCTTGCGATTCTACGCGTCTGCCACGCAATACTGTGTGTGTTAACAAGACCCATCGCATTGCATAACGCATTTGTGAGTTCTTTTTTTTTTAAAGCAGTTTCAAGCTCTTGCGTGACTTGGCTACCGCGCAAAGGGCGTGGGTGTTAGTCTGTTGTGCTTCCCCCCCAAGAGCAGACAAAGTGAAAACACGGTGCTTAAGTCCCCAAAGGAAGTGACTACAGAACCTATGCTTGCATGCGTGCAGGGCGAGGCTGTGGAGCTGATAGCCTCCGGCAAAGCCCCGCGCATCGCGCAGCCGACAGAAGGCGCCACCTATGACCCGATGTTGAACAAGAAGGAGTTACGCCGCGTGGACTTTTCCAAAATGACGGGCCAGGCGTTGCACAACTTCATACGAGGCATGGACAAGGTGCCCGGAGCCTGGATCACACTCGAAGGACAGGTGGGCTCGCTTATTTGTCATTTATTATTTAGCAAGACCGTTGCCGCTTCGTAGAAGGCCAAGCTTGACAAATGTGTCACGACAGAGAGAGAGAGAAATAAAACACGGATACAATATTGCAGTGGGCCTCGGGAATGGGCTTGATTCAATAATCAGTGTGGCGAAATATTGCAATCACTAACTGGTGCAAAGTTTTCGGCCAAGCGCGTAATTGTATTAAGAGTCAAGCGCGCGGTGACACCGTCCTGCACCCAGAGCTATGCGATAGAGTCGATTAAATACTACCAAATATTTTCGCCTACTGGACCAGACCTGATGAAGCTGCACAATCGCAATATAAGCTGCGGCAATGACTTCCTCTTGCACATGCTGCATGCACCGAAGTTGGTGATAGTCTTATCGCTCAAATGTGACAAGCTGTACTCCTCGAGAGGATTCTTACTCAGGGTACGACCGCCAAGCGCGCTGCACCGGTTGCTGTGACAGTAAATAATAACGTAAAGAGATATGCATTCTTTCAGGGTTTTCAGTAAATAGGATGTAATGTTAGTTGTGGGTGGCTTGAAACATGATAACATCCCGTTCCTCTCAATCTTAACTCATCCTACAGATGCAACGGCCTTGCAAAACACTTGGACACACTGCGTTATTGAGAACTGCAAGCATCGGTGCAGCAAGTCGATTATATTTCCACTCACTTCTCCGACCACATAGTTTCCTTCGTTACATACTGGCAGACGTGCGTTCCCTAGAGAGAGAGAGAGAGAGAGAGAGAGCTGCGGGAAAAATTAATGCTTTTGTAAATACATACATGTGTCTCTCAATATTCTTTTCTCAACTTATCGCGAAATCAAAACACCCAGCAGCTGCGCTCGCAGTTTGTACTTGGAAGTATCGTAATCGTCGGTGATTGAAGATAATTTTAGAAAGCTGTTCAGCGATTTCGTGTAAAAGGTAGCATTATGAGGCGCGATTGAGAGCAGTCTCGCAGCATAAGACCCACGCAGGCGACGCGCGTGTACGGTTCGAGCCGGTGGCCCTCGGGTCCCGTAGAAGGCGCTCGCCAGGTGTCCGTGGAAGGCATGTCCCGTCCTGGACTGGTCCACGAGCAGGGCCTGCTGCTGTGCGGCTGTGACGGCGAGTGGGTCAACGTGCGACAGCTGGCCTCAGAGGAGACGGGACGCGTCAGCCTCGCCTCACGCTTTGGACAGCAGCAGGCTGACGCCGAGGCCCTGGAACTGAACCAAGAGGAGCAGGCCATGGTCGGCAAGCTGAGGGTGAGACGCGTATTGATTGTGTCGACCACGGAGGAGGGCTTCGCCGGTTCCTCAGAGATCACCTTAACTCTGGTTGGGCAGTCTTAACCAATTGTTACACGTGTAATCATCGTCATCATCAGCCTGACTACGCCCACTGTAGGGCAAAGGCCTCTCCCATGTTCTGCCAGTCATCCCGGTACTGTGCTATATGCTGTCACGTTATATTTGCAAGCTCCAGTATACCTGCAGCTGCGCATATAAGTCTCCTTAACGACACTCGTATACTCGTTAACCAGCGAAAGAACGCCTTCATTGTATACTTTTCCGTTTCTTCTTTATAACTACGCTCTTAATGATTGTTTTGACCGTATCTATCTATCTATCTATCTATCTATCTATCTATCTATCTATCTATCTATCTATCTATCTATCTATCTATCTATCTATCTATCTATCTATCTATCTATCTATCTATCTATCTATCTATCTATCTATCTATCTATCTATCTATCTATCTATCTATCTATCTATCTATCTATCTATCTATCTATCTATCTATCTATCTATCTATCTATCTATCTATCTATCTATCTATCTATCTATCTATCTCTATCAATCAATCAATCAATCAATAAAAAAAACGGAGTCTGCATAGGTTCCAGAGTTGCCCCTATTTTGAGCAACATTTTTCTTGGAAGGTTTGACATGCAAGTAACACAAAGTTTAGGGTCTTTAGCCACAAAAATTGTTCGGTACGTTGATGATTTATTACTGTTCATCAGGCCAGATCCCCAGGAGGAAAGTGCGAACGACGTTTTGAAGGTGTAACCAATATGGATGGGGACTTTACGTGACGATGGTTATAGCGCGAGAACAGAACGACGACGCAGAAACAAGAAGGATACGAAGGACACGAAGGTCTTTGCGTCGTCGTTCTGTTGTCGCACTATAACTTTCGTCATGTCATACCAACTAGCCCAAGCTGCCACACTTCTAAGTTACTTAACTTTGCCGTTGAACTTACGAAGGATGATGAACTCCAGTTTCTATATTTAAAATTACACCATGAACCTAACCACATATGCTGGGCATACGTGCCAAGCTCAACAAGCCCTTACTAAACTTCAACTCGGAGCATTCTAAAATTGTTAAAATGGGAATAGCTATGTCTGCTCTGAGTTACGCCATCAAAGGTAATGCTCCGCTAAAACGACAGAAAGTTTCTCAAATCAGCTTCGAAGATTGAACAGCGCTGGCTTCCCCAGCCCGTCGTATACGCAAGGTTGCGCAGAAGCTACTTAAAAAGTAAAGGAAAACCAGGAAAATGATAGAACCAGTTAAAAAGCCCACTGTCATCCCCTATATGCACAAGCTGTCTCATGGTATAAAAAAAAAAAAAAACATTGCGAATCGATATGACGTTGGGGTAGTTTTTTCGGCCCCAACAAATTAAACTTGTTATGTATCAGAACAGAAAGAAAACTAGCGCGAAACTCTAAGGGTCGAAAACCAGAAGGATGTGACGTGAATCATAGGCACTCGTATGTTAAGTGTGAAACAGGTGTTGTATATTTGGTATACCATTTTCCTGTGGTCTCATCAACATTGGCCTGACGGGAAGATGTGCCAAGACCAGGTTGCAAGAACATAGATCATTGGACACAAAAGACAGTTCACACTTGCCCAAACATTGCAGCTCGTGTGATTGCAACCCCCCTTTTTTGATGCTATTGTTTTATCAAAACACTCAGATTGGACCACCACGCAGAGAGCTGATAGAGGAATTGCGCATCAGGAAAAGTGGGAAGAAATGCATAAGCGCACCCTCCATCACACTAACAGAAAAAATAATTTTCATACCTCATGAGCACTCTGAGGATCTGATCTGAGGCACGAGTTCATAGCGCCATTTTTTTTTTTCGCTGTTTCACCTGCCAGGTCATGTGACAGAAGTTATACCTACCTTTTTTTCGAATAACCTTTAGTTGCGAGTAGGGGCTCTTGGTCTGTGCAATTTCCTGTTCTAGTGTCCGTGTATGTGCGCGCGCCCTCATTCAGTAAAAAGATGAACCATTACCAACTAGTCGAATTATCCGTGCTACTACAATCGTGGTGCACTCACGGCCGTTTCGCTAGCTTACATATGTCAAATTTGGTATTACGTGACGTGAATGGACTAGAAATAGAAATCACAGGTGCAAACATGATAATCATAACATGGAAGTGATATACGGCACAATTTACGACCATCTCGTAGCGTTCTGCTCAGTTTAAAGTGGCATGTGAAGCTTCCGCATTCGTGCTTCGCATATCATCGGTTCCCACTGTACGTGGGATCTGCCAATTTTCGAAATAACGTGGCTTCAGTAGAAGTTTACTTATATGCACATATAGTTCATTTGCGTAATCGTGGGTGGCTATGTAATGAGTTTTCGTTTGTATAAGTTCTACAAGTGCCTCCCTGCTGAATTTTAGGCATGTAGGCTCGTTAAGCTTCTTTTACCTACAACTCCTCGATCTGTGTAAAGCGGAAATTCAGGGGCTCTTTTTCTTTGTTAGACACAAAATTGATGATAACTAACAGACAATGATGCCAAGAGCAGTATAGGGGATGTTATTGGAAATAGTTATAATGTAAATATCGAGAAACGAAGGAGGACGAAAAGATAATTTGCCACCGGCAGGATCCGAACCTGCGACCTTCGAATATCGCGCCCGATGCTCTACCACTGAGATACGTAGTACGCGCTGTTGTGCTAGTCGGTTCATGTTCAATACAGCTCCCCTTGACTCTTCCCTCGTTACTTGTTTGCGCGCTATATTCTGCTTTTCACTAAGCTACAGTGGCGGTCCGTCAGTCAACGCCGCCTGTTGCCATTGTGGCAAGTGTGGAACACTCTTCTTGCTTGTTGGCGTCACGTAGCACGTGATATTGGCTTCATTGTCTATTAGCTCTCATTTTTACGCGATCTGTGTTGTATTATGAGAAATAAAACTGAATTGAAAATTGAAATAACTCTCTTCCGGAGAGTCGCGCCTCCCAAGATTCCCTGAGAGAGAAAAAGAGAAAGAGAGAGAGAATAAAGTGAAAGAAAGGCAGGGAGGCAGGGAACATTATGGTCTCCAATCATTCAACGAGAATCGATTACTAAAGAGAGTTAGCCGTGCACGCGTTGAGGGGGGGGGGGGGGTAGAGATGGTGCCACTCCTGATAATATAAAAGGGGCCGCCAATTCTGCCCCATAACTAAATTATTCAGTTAGATTTTTCGTGTCATTTGTTTAATGCGCGGGGTTCTGGCTACACTTCTTTTTTTTTTGTTTTTTACAATAACAGTGACCAAAGGCCAAGGTTCCTAGATTTACCTCGTAAAGTCGGAGACCAATAACATGACTTTGCGAGAAGCACGTCATTGTGGCAATTTTCGTTTATTTTTGCATCTATTACGGAGCTCGTTTTCTTCAGGACTCGACCAACATGGCCGGAGGGAGGATTTGTGGTGAAACATACCCTCACGATGGAGGATATGCTCACCACGGAGATCTCCCAGAGTACATTTCCCTCCAAAGCCCTGTTTCGGTGTTTAGCTGAGGAACATGCGCGCGTGCAGGGCATCTGGACGAGCATCCTGCGGCGCGACGTGGCCGACGACACGGACCTGTTCGAGTGCGGCGCCGGCTCGATGGACGTGACGCGGCTGGTCGAAGAGGCGCGCGACGCCTGCGGCCTGCAGCTGGCCGCCGAGGACGTCTACCTGGCGTCGCGCTTTTCGGACTTTGTCCGCGCGGCCGTTCTCAAGTCCCGCGGACAGGGATCGGGCGGCGACGACGTCTCGTACGACGCGGTCGAGCTCCAGGCCAACGGCAGGAGCATCAGGGTGCCGCACCAGCTTTTCATCGACGGCAAGTTTGTCAACAGCTCGTGGGGACGAAGCTCAGAGGTGAGAAGTCATCGTTCAATCAATCGATCGATCGATCGATCAATCAATCAATCAATCAATCGGTCAATAAATCAATCAATTTCGCTAAGATGTCATAAGTGTAAGAGCTTTAAAAATTACAGAAACAAGGAAGCATACGTGCTATTTATAGGCGTTACCATTACGGTGGCAGAGGGTACCTGAAGGTGCGCACAAACATTAATTACAATAGTAATTACAAAAACTAAAACAATGAATATTTTAAGTAGTGGAAATAGCCGATTCAGTTCAATGGGCGAATTGAAGTCCTTCTTGCGAATGGTCCATAGCCACTTTAAAATTTCGGAAAGGCGGCTACTGGTAGTGACTGCAAATTGATGAAATGTGGCTAATTTAGCAGTCAGAACTGGAACTTACCCACCAAATAGTGCACCACCATTCGCTTCGAAAACGTCCTTAATGACCAAACTGTTTCCCGCGCATTGTGCGTGTTTGTGTGATCAAAGTGGGGATGGTATGTATAAGCGAGCATCGTTCCAGGTAAGCGGCGGTTGATAACTACGCTCACTTATCTGTCTCCATCAATGCTTATTTTATCTCCCAATGCCTCCTTTCTGTAATTTTTAAATTTTATTTTCCGCATTTCTTGATAGACAACACGAAACATCACGGAAACAGAGCAGGTGGCATATACAATTTCTTTCTATGGCCCTATGTGCGACAACTAAACTAGCGATACAAGCGGGTGAGATACAAGCGGGTGAGAGTCATAAAACCTATGCCAAGAATCTGCAGGTTTTAAATAAGGTTTCGTCCACTCTTTTACAGTCCAGATGTTAAAACTAACACCGTTCATATACACGCGTCTAAAAGCGACAATCACTTTGATACTGTATTTATTATTTGCAGTTTAGTTCTACGCCTTTTTGATTTTTTAATGCGAAACATTTCTTAGCGTACTGCAGGTACTTTGAGCATCTATCTATCTATCTATCTATCTATCTATCTATCTATCTATCTATCTATCTATCTATCTATCTATCTATCTATCTATCTATCTATCTATCTATCTATCTATCTATCTATCTATCTATCTATCTATCTATCTATCTATCTATCTATCTATCTATCTATCTATCTATCTATCTATCTATCTATCTATCTATCTATCTATCTATCTATCTATCTATCTATCTATATCTATCTATCTATCTATCTATATCTATCTATCTATCTATCTATCTATCTATCTATCTATCTATCTGTCTATCTATCTATCTATCTATATCTATCTATCTATCTATCTATCTATCTATCTATCTATCTATCTATCTATCTATCTATCTATCTATCTATCTATCTATCTATCTGTCTATCTATCTATATATCTATATCTATCTATGTCTATCTATCTATCCGCCTACGTCTGGGTGCTCTCGTGATCACTTCTTTAACTTGGTGTAAATCACTATTATTATGGGAGGGTAAGATTGTTTGACGAATAATGACTCTCTGGTCATGGCATGAATAATGTCACAATCCCGTCGCGTACATCTTCAAATGCATTCTGACAGACGTGTGCTGGTATGTCACGTACGCTGACACGTATGCTGGTGTGTGTCACAGGTAAATGACGGTCTATATTTACCCAGGCACGGTGATTACTGACATAGTTAATTTTAACTCGTGAGCATTAAGAAGAAGCTGACAACGGCAGCGTTGAACTGACAGATGCAAAGAAAATGTCAGGGTCTCAGAATGAACCGAACCCCGGAATCCTGCGGGCCCATCAAGCATTATAATGGACAAATTTCTTGAAACGCGTATGACAAATATCCAATATTCTCGTATAATCATACGAGAACACATATGTTTTATATACCGTTCATAGGAGATCATTGGATATGGGGCACACGGCCCATATAAAAATTTTATGTATTGTGCATGTACATGTAAGAATATGCAGATGACAGGTTTCGGCAAGTGTGGTTAGGTTGCTTGTTTTTGCTTCCTATTCAACAAAAAAAAAGATATCGGACCTACGATATGGACACCGCTACATTACTTCTGAAAATGCGGGTACAGTCGTTTGTTAAGGGCTGAACTTGTTCGTATTGAGTTCAAGTGCCTCAATTGTGGCACAACACTCGTAAAAGAAACCGAGACGGGCAGACACTGTCACAAGACGATAGACAGCACAATCATTGGCGTTTAATTGTGCCGTATGCTCAGCTGACTCGTATTTACGATGGCTCCCCGCTAACTACGTTCAACAATTTGCAGCCAGGAAGGGGGGGGGGGGGGAGTTGCGGGGCTTTTTATTTCCTCCCTGTAAATTTCAATTTTGCCTTGTGTAAGTGTACGCACAGTTGAACGCCCGCACTAAGTATATAAAATATGGCTGATTCCCTGTTCCTTCCGGCCCCTCCCCCAAATTTACACAATATCCATGGAGTAAATGATGATGAGTAGGGCAAGGCGTCCGTCCATCCTTCTGTCTGTCTGTCTGTTGCTATGCCTGGCAGTCCAACCCGAACTGCTTTGCCTCTGCAAAGTATTCAAGCTGGTATCGTCTAATGCAAGTGGCGTCAACATCGATAGACTGGCTGACGCAACCAGCGTCAAAACCGGTGAGCGAGCTGTCTGGTGCAACGGACGTCAACCAAGACCTGATAATTCAACCACGGCATCTCTTGCGGTGCGTCTGACGCAACGCGCGGCAAGTACCCTCATCTACGGGTCCGATTGCAGCCAGCAACCAGCGGTGGTTCGCGATTGGTGGCTTCGAACTACTGGCTGATGCAAGGGATTCCAGGGACTATAACAGAACCAAGCTGTACGAACCTCAGTGCGAGCTCCATAAGCTGTCGGCCCCAGTGCCGAATATGTAACGCCTCTGTTAATGCTGTACATAAATGTTGCCTTACCTCATTGTCGCCTTGTCCGCTCCGTCTGTCAGCTCTGCGCAGATGCAGCCGTGAGCTGAGACACACGATACCCGTCCGTCCGTCCGTCCGTCTGTCTGTCTGTCTGTCTGTCTGTCTGTCTGTCTGTCTGTCTGTCTGTCTGTCTGTCCGTCCGTCCGTCCGTCCGTTTGTCCGTCCGTTTGTCCGTCTGTCCGTCCGTCCGTTTTTCCGTCCGTTTGTCCGTCTGTCCGTCCGTCCGTCCGTCCGTCCACTTCTATTCTATAACACTAGAGCACACATCGGACGGACGGACGTTTCGCCCCACTCATAATCATTCACTCCGTGAATTTGTCATGAATTTCTCATTACACGAAAGCCATCAACATCACCTAGTAATAATATTTTCAAGTACATGTACACACAACGCCATCTAGTGACTAACCAGAAGTGTGTAGTGACACGTATCCCGAAGTACGGCCACTACCGTGGGTCCGGTCTTGCCGCAGGGCACGCGTTAACCGTCGGCATGGCGAGAACACAGTACTGCTCAAGGTCGCAACACTTTATTGCCTTCGGCAACACCAAAACGCAGTACAGAGCCCGTTGCAAAGGCGTGGCGGGAAAGCAAATGGGCTTATCTACACCACGAGCGAGAAGTACTACACAGGGTGCGGCGAGCACGTATTTGTAGTAAAAGCGATTCTCGGACACACCGGTACCAATGCCCGGCTGCTCGAGCGAGGGAAAAGGCGCTCGCGTTGGCTTCGGAGAGATTCGAGCATCTCATTTTTTAAGTCATAAGTAATGTTTGTGATCTGTTTGCATTTTCTTGTTCAGAAGTGTAGATTTATATGTCTCCGCGCTTCTCAAAACCAGCCGAAATGTAGCGAACGTGTTTGTTTTGTGCTTCGTGAGGTCATAACGACTGTCCGACACATTTTTTTTACAGCAGGAAAAAGAAGATTAGCGCAACATTATAAGAACGGCATTTGCACTAACTCGCTAGTGGTTTGTCATTTCTGTGTGCGAAACATCGCGCTTCTGAAGTGTACATTAAAAAAATTGGTTTTGTTCAACCTTTTCGACATATTGTCGGTCATTCTGGTGCACGTTCTTGTTCACTTTCTACGACTAAAGCCACAATACTTCACTGTAGCCGTACCGTACGTTAGGCAAAACGTTAGGCCAACGTCATCATCGCCCGCGTGCGAAGTTCGTAGCGAAAAACATCATTATTAATATAAGTAGAATATCAGAGCCGTTTGCACTGAGTCTCGATCGTGGCCGATTGAATTAGATAGTATTCATTTATTTCACTACACATATCCGAAGCTGAGAACGCGGATATTAAGAGTTCCAGGTGTGTTCCAGTACGCTGAAATTCACTATATTGAGCGCTGGGAAAACTTTTCGTTAGTCGTCTCTAACGTCTCGAAAAACAAATGCAGTACGTTTTACTTCAATATGTGTGGTTATTAAGTAGTACTATTCACTGGTGGTGTGCCGGCGCGTCTAAATGTGAGCACAACAGTATAACCTCGTTTTACTCTCTCATGCCCGAAGAATATATGGGCATTCCGCTCTTTCAGAGGGAGGTAGAGTATAGCAAGCAGTTTCACTCTGTCATTTCATACAGAGTGAAATGAACTTAACTCTATCAGATGCTTTGCGAGAGCAGAAGCCAAAGTCTTTAGAATGACTTGGCCTTTTTACTTCTGCGATACCCTCCGCAGTTTTTAGAGTGCAGACATTTGGGTCAGCAATCGAGCATCGTAATCAATAAAGAAAAAAAAATCGTCAGGAAGTTTGGGATGACAGCTTGCGATGATGGCAAAATAGAAATTACAGCATATCTACGGAGTGAATCATGATGGGTGTGTTGAAGCGTCCGTCCGTCCGTGCATCCATCCATCCATGCTTCCGTCCGCCCGTGCATCCGGCCTTAATTGTGGGAGATGATTTAGACTGGAACCAAAAGTTTTGAAGAAACCCGACGTTTCGAAACCGACTTGGTTCCTTCCTCAGGGGTGACTGCGGGGCTACGTAGCAGCGGCGTCATCAAAGCACTCGCGAGACGCATAATGACCTCTCTCTCTCTCTTTCTCTCATTTTACCGTGGAGCGCAGTCCATGTGTATACACTGGGGGAAGGGTGCCGAGAGAGTGGTTGATGTTATGTGCCGCGACTCGAGTAATAACCTCATCCTCCAGTTCGGCTCGCTTTCAAGGATGGCCGTCGCTTCGATATTTATCCGGTGATCCAACGTGGCAGCATGTTCGGCGACTGCGCTGTGCTCTTTGTAGAGCTTCCGCACATCGTTGGCGTGTTGCTTCACTCGTTCCAGTAGGTTTCTCGTCTCGCCGATATGCGAAGAGAGGCACTCGGCGCACGGAATTTTGTAAACGACACCGAGGGTTCTGTCCATTGTTGGCCGGTTTTTCGGGCGGGGGAGGAGGCGGCCCAGCGTATACACTGCGAACACTGCGCCGTGCTCCCGACCGGGTTGCAAAAATTAGGTGCCTTTTCTCATCTTCTAACCACTACCACCACCACCTTCTTGAAGATCCGCGCCAACATCTCGCTGGGTCCCTGAACGTATGAGACCGGTACGCGTTTTGGGGGGCTGTCAATTAAGGTTGATTGGGGTTTTCGTATCCTCTGTTACTCTACGCGGCAGGTGGCGGCTCGAATGAAGTTTTTTGGGTATTCGTTTTTTCTGAGGTCCGCAATGGCGCGGGCCTCTTCTTTTGGTTGGAGTCTAAATCATCTCCCAGTTTCGTACCGAACCAGACAGACTTCTGTCGAATGTTTACATTCAGGCCTTAATTGTGTTCGTCCGTCCATTTTTCTGTCTGTGCGTTCGTGCATCCATCCGTCGATGCGTGCGTTCTATTGCACACACTTCTATTGGACCAACGCCTTCTAGGAAATGCGACGAGAAATCGTGCTGAGACTGCGCCATTTTTAATACTGCTCGAAAGATACTGCCAGTTACGCCTGACGCAGGACAAGGCTAGACTAAGAGGAGCTTCGCCCGTAAAAAAAGACATAAACACTGGTTGTGTGCTCGAGATGACGTTTCGATAAGTGTTCTTCAAGACTGCAAGTTCTAGCCGACGTTTTGACAGGTTTCAACAGTTCCTCTTCAAGGCCTTGAAGAAGCGCCCATGGACCTGTCGAAACTTCGGCTCACAAGCCTTTACTGATTTTTTTTTTCATAGACCAACGGTGGCGGGTCTGCTTGTGCAGGTGGTGAACCCGACGGACGAGAGTGTGCTCTGTCGCGTCGAGAGCGCTTCTGCCGAGGACGTCGATCGGGCGGTGTCGGCGGCTAAGGCAGCCTTCGAGCAGGGCGAGTGGGGCCGCATGAGCGCCCGCGACCGAGGTCGCCTCCTTCTTCGGCTTGCCGACCTGATGGAGCAGCAGCGCGAGGACCTGGCCACCATCGAGTCGCTCGACTCAGGCGCCGTCTACACGCTCGCCCTGAAGACGCACGTGGGCATGTCCATCGACGTGTTCCGCTACTTTGCCGGCTGGTGCGACAAGGTGCAAGGGAGCACGGTGCCCGTGAGCCACGCCAGGCCGCGCAAAAACCTCACCTTCACCCGCTGGGAGCCCATAGGGTGAGATCATATAGTGTCACGTGGGTTGTGACGTTAACGAAGATGAAACTGTTTGTTAGGCCGCACTTGTGGCTGGTAAACGGAAAGTCTGATTACAGAACACAGCGTCGGCCATCGATCAACTCACAAGCGGTGATGTGCGTCGGAATTTACACATGTGCTGTCAAATGTTCCACCGTTATCGCCAGCAGCCGCGTATGTTGGTGATGTGTGCGTATAATCGCATCGAAAGGTTTTTAGATTATCTCGGTGCTTCTCAGTTCACCGGTGTCGTTTCCGCAGGGCAGTACTCGCACGTGTAATGAAGGGATAGCAAAACTTGACAAAACGGTCTGGAAATATGCATATCGAAACAGAGATAAGAATCCCGAATACATCATATATAGGGAGGACAGGCTCAAGTTTGCGCAGCACCATTCACCGCCCTAGCGGAAAAAGGGCAAAGCTCCGGTTGCTCGAACGGGCCGCGCTTGTTGGGTTTTTCCATTGCGTGCACGGAAAACGTGTTCATTGGAGCGCTTATCTCGCATTTTGCACGCTATGGGCAGCGCTCCTTCGTCATTCTGGAAAGCCATACGCAGAACTGCTGCATTGTGAGCTGTTACAAAAGTTTAAACGTGACGGAAACCTGAAAACTGCCCGTCTAGTTTTACCGTTTCCAATGCAAGCAGTGCGAGAAGCAAAGGCGTCAAGAGTGGATTGTGGCAGTTCGCCGATACTCCGCGGTCTCGTTACTTTGAAAAATTTTTGTGGTGTACAGTACTACAAACTAATAATTAACTGAAAGAAACGCGTTGACCGGACTCATATTTAAAGAAAACATGTTTGTAAAAAAACAGCAAATAGACAGCCACTGCATACATTTCGTGATTGGGCTCTGGCTTTCCGAGACAACCATAGGTAGCGTGAAATCGGTGAAGCTTGCTAGCTTAATACACTTAAAATACCGTACTGTGAGCCCTGCAAGTGTTATATTCAGCTGATATAGCTGCAGACTTTTCATCGCCGCTCAGTGTAAACAGATTTGTGCTGCGGGTTCGCGCTGAGCGGTCATACGTACATGTCTTGCAAGCAACACTCACCGATAGGTTAGCATGATGACGTGTCGCAATGCTAGGATCGAAGTCATGACTTCGATTCCCGCATACGACAGCTCAATTTCTACGACAGCTCCATCCTCCAAGCCAATTTATTTGGTATATAAGTTAACTTAAACGTGGGAGTGTTATTCAGCGCCATCTGTAGCCATGGCGGCGCCTGTGGCACACCCTTTATGAGCCTGTGTGGCGTCACGTTGCACGTGATTTTATTACGAGCTGGTAGCTGACCAATGGTCCGTCGTACACAACCTAAGGCACCAAGTCTGCCAGTACGAGACCTTCCTTAATAAATAAGTGAAAGAAGTGTATACTTAAGGGCTCGTTATTCTGTGTTTTGACACAATATTAATGATATCTAACCGACAATAATACCAAAGAACGTATAGGGGAAGTTGTTAAACCGAATCGTAATGTATAAACGTTCTTTGACGACAGCTCAGCGCTGCGTAAGGTTGTGCCTTTTCTGCCGTGATTTTTTTTTGCGCTGTTTCTCCTATACGATATGAACAACCAACTAGCCGACAAGTTCACCCTTAAACTTAAAGCGATTCCGGGAAAACGGCGAGGGAATGAACATCCCGTGACGATGCCGAGAAGTGTCGTAGTGGTTAATTTTGAAGTGTTGGTCGTGATTAATTCTTTTGCTGCTTGTGTAAGACTTGTTGGAGTAACTTCACAAAGCGACTCAAGTTCTTCTTTTTAAGACAGTGCTCGGGAGCCACGACTGCTCCAACGTGCACATGCAGTGTTAATCTTCCATGCGCAGTGTGTGCGGTATCATCACGCCCTGGAACTACCCGCTCATGATGGTGGCGTGGAAGAGCGCCGCCTGCCTCGCCGCGGGCAACACCCTGGTGCTGAAGCCCGCCCAGGTGTGTCCACTCACGGCACTCAAGCTCGCCGAGCTCACGCTGCGCGCCGGCATCCCGCCGGGCGTCTTCAACGTTGTCACAGGATCCGGCACCATCGTCGGACAAGCCATGTGCGGTCACCCTTTGCTCAGAAAGGTACCCCCATATTCCTATCACACGAGCAGCTTTGTGAAACTTGGGGTAGTTGGTTTATACCACACGAAAATTTCTCGACGAAAATCGCCGAGAAAAACGTTACATCGCAACGGTCGGCCACTCTCCATGCAAGTGCAAGATCAAGAGAGGCACTTTCCGAAAAATTGAAACTCAGCTGATCGCAGCACAACCGACGTATCCCTAATGCAGGTATCCTTTTTTTTTTCTTATGGTGTAGTACGCATCTAGCATCTCTCACTCCTTGGTCTTCCGAAAATGGTCATGTTGACAAATCTTGCCACACAATCACAGGCGTTGCACTGCATAGGCAAACGTGCAGAAAGATTCTTCTTGATCGATGCTCTCTCCTCGCTCGATCGTTTAGCATCTGGCAGTCTGGCGTATCCCTTCCGCAGGAGAGCTGAATGTCGTAAACAACTCTTTCGCACAGGTGACGTAAGGCCTCGCAGGTCTCTTACTCATGATGAGATTCTTGCAACGTGCTCTTTTTACACGTAGAAGTTCATTCTGGGACGATAATATAGGCAGGCAGAGAATGTCAGGCACTGATCATCCTTTTAGCGTGGCTTCTTTTAAAACCATTTATTGTTCGTTTTAAGGTGGCGTTCACTGGATCCACAGAGGTCGGCCGCGCCATCATGTCGAGCTGCGCCGCACCGTACCTCAAACGCGTCTCACTCGAACTCGGAGGCAAGTCACCGCTCATCATATTCGCCGACTGCGACTTGGACCTCGCCGTGCGCCAGGGCCTGAACAGCGTCTTCTTCAACAAGGGCGAGAACTGCATCGCCGCCGGCCGCCTGTTCGTCGAGGACTCCCTGCACGACCGCTTCGTGGAGCGTGTCGTGGCCGAGGCCCGCAAGATTGTCACTGGCGACCCACTGGAGCGCAGCACCTGGCACGGTCCGCAGAACCACAAGCAGCACCTGGAGAAGCTCATCGACTACGTGCACAGGGCCGTGGCCGAGGGCGCCCGCCTGGTCCACGGGGGTCGGAGGCTGCCTAGGCCCGGTCTCTTCCTCGAGCCGACCATCATCGTGGACGTGGAGGACCACATGGCGGCCGCCAAGGAGGAGTCGTTCGGCCCCATCATGCTCGTCTCTCGCTTCCGCGACGGCGATGTCGAGGGCGTGCTGCGGCGTGCCAATGCCACCGAGTACGGACTTGCGTCGGGTGTCTTCACGCGCGACCTGAGCAAGGCGTTGCGCGTGGCGGACGCCCTGCAGGCAGGCACGTGCTTCATCAACTGCTACAACAAAACTGACGTGGCGGCGCCTTTCGGCGGCTTCAAGCAGTCTGGCTATGGCAAGGACTTGGGTCACGAGGCGCTTAAGGACTATCTGCAACTCAAGTGTGTCACCGTCGAGTACTAGCAGCGCACCACCGGGTGGCCCAGCACTAATTTGACATTTTAATGCGAAACGATTACTTCCGTTTTGAATCAAAGAAATATGTCCCACATATATAGGGACTGCCTTTTATATTAGGTAGTGCTCAAAAAGGACGAGTGTATTCGCTTAGACACAAAAGCCAGGGATTTATGTTTGCCACGAGAAAAATGCGACGCATGTGTTCCAGGGGCCACTTTTCAACTGTCCCTCGTGATCCGACTTTTCCTACCATTAGTAAATTCAGCGCGTGCATTTCGTGGCAATAAATTGATATTTACTACATTTACACTCCGTGTTTGCTTCAGCACTACGCAACGTAAGCAGAACAATCATTCGGCGGCAGAACTGAAGGCGGGCGAGCCGTTCATCGTTGTGTTGCGCACAAATTGAAAACACAAATAGAAGGGAACAGGACAAGCACTGGTCTAACTGAAAATTTACTTGAAAGGATGCGTATACGAACAAACGATGTGCCACGCAAAATTACATGCGCATGATCGATGGAATAGATTTCTTGTTTCGATAGTGTAACAAATGCCTTGTTAACGCCATTGCCAACACACTCCGTCTTGTGGTATGCCTCAGCTATCTCACGTGTACTCTGATTACGATGGCGATCGATGATCGTGGTCTGAGCTAAGGAAGGCGTGCAACTGCAACCACGGCAATGGCTGGCAAAGTAAGAAGCAACCCTTTTCAAGAAAAGAACTGTGATGCTCTCGCAGCCTGATATCGACACATCTGGAAGCCTTTCCGATGTGTACACTGCAGCACGTGCATGATATTTTATATACTACCCCAATAGAACTTGTCCTGCTCCCCCCCCCCTTTTTTTAAAAATTTATGCGCTACCAAACGATGGGTATGCCACATTCCACACTATGTGGCGGTAAAATGGCCGAAGTAAACAGAAATCAGTGGAAGACACTCACTAGCTACAGCAACAAGAGCTGAAGGGTTCATTTAACGTTTCGAGACCGAAGTCCACAGTCTTCGTCTGGGATCATTGTAAAAGGCGTGGGGAGAGAGAGCAAAAGGAATAAATGAATATAGAAGATTCGGTTAGAAACCGGTTAAAAGCGGATATATCAGAGGCCACTTAGAAAGAAACAACTGGTTGAAATCTGCCACGGTAGGCGCCGCATATCGCAGGCTGCTCACAAGAAAAGTCTTCTCTTTCATTGGACTAATTTGATTAATTTTCAGTAACTATACTTGCTGGTAATTCGTCATCGTATGCACTGATATCATACGAAAGCAATAGGACTCTTTATTTGAACCACGACAATCGGTTTCACCATGTATCTGGCGTTGCCGCTGGGGCATTTCATTTCCTTGAAACAGATTAAAGTGTCTTCCGCGTTCTCCTAATTATCGATGATTATTAGTGAGCACGTCACCCCAATTGTCAATGCAAGCACTACCAAGAACGCTGCTTCAATAAATGACTCTGCAACTCCGTCCAAATGAGCAGCAGCAGTCGGCGTCAACAACTTGGCCTTCGACGACAAAAGTGCAGTGCTGCCATGTCACCCATTCGTCGTATAAAGCATGTGAAGAGATGATGTGCTTCTCGCGCACTTCTATTCTCGGGCCTCGTAAAGATGGGGGTGTCACGAATATGCTACACTATTTCGCTTCATTTATTTGGAAATTTCGCAAAATGCCGTCGAAGGAGACAAAAAGACAGTGTCTTCTGACTTGTCCCACTCTTCGTGAGGCACTTGAGGCCGGTGCAGCATGGCAACGCAGGGAAATATACAGTAATGCATACACAAACAAAAAATAAACGAACAATTATTGTAAGACAAAGATACAAGCAGAGCTGTTTCTCACCAAGAAATACAAAATGCATCCTGATCAGCATCGGTTGCAATACAGGCTTAATTAAATGCAATATGAAACACATTAAATACATTAAACACCAATGAGCATATTAAACAATGAACACAATAAATAAGCTCAGCACATCCCAGACAGAATCGCATTCAATTTACTACTTGTTTCCTGAATTGTGTAATGTTCATAGTCCCCCTAACGGATTCAATTAAGTCAGGAATCTTGTTGTTGACAGTTATAGGGCACATTAGCCCGACCAAAGCAACAGTACGCAAATTACTATGACAATATATATATTAAAACATTGGAACTTTCTAATTTTCTTATGCCTAGTTGGGTGCTCTGGGGATGGCGGTATATATTGCATACACGGGTACATTACGGATTTTCAAAATCTTTATTGCGCGGCGTTTGAGGAATGACGAGGCAGGTACAAAGGTACATGACACACTTGGCGTCCACTTAGACACTTAGGCACCGTAATGAGTACGCCACCATTTTGCGTTGGCGGTCATTATATATGGAAGAAAAGAAATAATCAACTTTATTTCCCTATGGCATCGCATTAGCGTCCTCTGTAGAGATGTTGCACGACGGAGGCGAATGGCGCAGCTGCCAGCGCCTGAACGACGAGCTGCAGCACTAGGCTCTCCGTGCCCAGCGCCTGCGCCAGCGCCTGGCGGCCGTAGTTCGAGCGCAGTCCCAGAACCATGGCAGCTGTGGCGAACCCGTGCGCCGACAGGCCCATCGCACGGTGGACGCGCCGCAGCATGCGATACTTCAACCATGGGTACTGCTTGCCCACCTACGCCACGGTGACAACGATTAGCCATGAAACCGGGCATTTTTTGTCTGCTTTCCTGGACATAGCCAGCACAGACCATATTAGGATTGATCAACATACTCTGTTCGAAATACGGCAGCAAAGGGGCAGCTTGCAATGAAAAAATCAGCAGAGAGACAAGTCTTGAAGAGTCCACTTGCGGCACACAACCCCTCAATAGAAGTTCTTGGGATAATTCGTCATTTTTCTCGGATGGGGGGGGGGGGAAGTGGTTCTTAAGATTGGAAAAGAAAAGAAAAGTGAACCCCGCAACTGTCTGCAGCTAAGTGCGACACCTCAGCAGTGGTTCACATGGGAAGGGGAATGGGGGATAATAGACTTGAGCGAAGAGAGGAAAGAGAAAGGAGAGAGCGAGCAAAGGAAGGGGGGGGGGCGCCTAGAAATATAAGTGGTTATATCAGAAGAAAAGAAAAGGAAGGTGCCGACCCGTAACTGTCTCTCCTTACGAGGACAACTCAACAGGTCAGCAGAGGAATGGGATATGGGGAATAAAAGATATAGGGAGAAGGAAGGAGGGATAAAAAGAATAGAAGGAAAATAGACGGAGAAGAAGCCGCCAGCCAACGAGAGGAAAAAAGAAGGAGATAGGAAAGTGGGGATCCGGTCGAAGCAGTCCAAGGGCGGGGTGCCACAATGCGAGAGCTGCACGGCATCAGGAGACCGCGGAGGGCGAACCAGTCGGCGGGAGCTACGCTGAAGTCGGAGATCGCGAAGGCACAACCGTCCAGCTTGAAATCCTCCGAGCGAATCTTTCTCGGATGGAAGAGGAAGTGAATGTATGAGTACTTGTGGGAGTACAAAGCGCGCTAAATTTCTTACAACACGACCCATGTTTACAGCTCTTCAGATGCGAAGCAGTTTAGGGTCGAGCTCGATCCGGTGTTTACGGCGTATGCGCGTCCGCTCCCCCACGCTCCCTCTCCCCTTCTCGCCTCGCAACACCGCGACGCAGCCAGCGGCGAGTTTCTTGATTGAAAAAACAAAAACCGACTGCTCGTGCTGCTCAACCATTCACTGGCCATATATAGGCCCCGGATCCTGACCTTCAAGGAAGTGCGGATGAGATATTTCTTCTGTGCGTTGTTGAACAATAAAAATTCGTAGCGTGCGCGTAAAAAGCGGACTGCGAGTCTCCAAGCGGACTCTTCTGTCTCCCATTATCAGCGATTGGCATGTTCCAGTAGGAAACACCGGTCAATAACTGCGTGCTCTGCGCCTCTTTCCTGCGCAACGCCGCGATGAGCGCCAGCGTCGCCGCCAGCGTAGGCGTGAGCGACAGCTGCTTCGCATCTACACATGGTTCCCTTTAACCTTTTTCATTACATTATTAGGCAACAAAGAATTAACTGCAATAATTGTGCACAGTATGTTGTGGGAACTAGTTGGTTATAGACATTATTTTGAGAACAAAGACTACTATGGACACAAGATGCACTTACACCATAGTCACTAGCGCACGCTACAAGTTGAAGATTTGAGAGAGTTGCTGTCAAGTAGACGTGCACGTACATTCTTCATGCCATGCGACTCGACCTCTTTGCGTTTTATAAAAGCACCACGAAGAATCGAAAACGTCCGCGCCCTGTTGGGTGAGGTGCGCTTGGTGGTGTTTGCCTACAGACACGCTGCAGCCGTGCTAAAACATCAAGACCCCAAAATAAGTGGGTGAAGCGGCCGACACTTGCCTTACGGAGCCTGCCAAGTGAACCCAAAATGAAGCCCAATTTATAACCCCATTAAACAGGACTTGGAGGCGACCCTGCTCAGAGCAACACTGGTTCACCGAGCTCGGGCGGCAGCTCCGGATAATGACGTCACGAACTAGGGATGTCGACCAACTCGGTCGGGATGAGGACTGTGTAGCTTCAACTAAGCTTTTTCTTCCTCCTCGCTTTGCGGTGTGCTAGATCGAGTGAACCTGCTACAGTACGTTAGTTAGACTAATTCAGAATAGTAGCGCAAAGAAGCACACGGACAGGTCAAGACGGGACATTTCAAGTAATCGACACTGCATGAAAGAAAGAAAGAAGGGGGGGGGGGGATAAAAGAGGCACACCAAGGCAATCGGCCCGACAAAACCCGCTGACGCAACAAAAGTGTCACTTACGATGAACAGATTGAAAAGGAACTTACAGCGTTTCTATTCTTAATTTCTACAGCTTGAATGATTTCTCTCATGAACTGTTCAATTTTTTTTTTGGCCAGCGTATGCAAGTGGCTGAACAGGGGCTTGCAACAGCAACTGGCACAATGCGCGGCTAGGTGGTCATACAAGGTGAATTTCTCGACATTGCACTTGTGCTCTCGCAAGCGATGCCTATCTGGCCCACATACTTTTTGCCACTGCGATCGGGATACGATAAACAACTTTTCAACGCAAAGTTATGTCACCCTTACTTTTGTTAGCAGGCATGCTGTTGTTATTAGCCGAGAAGCGAGAAACCCACCCTTCCATATTTATCTGCTCATTAACAGTTCGTCAAGCGAGGAATAAGAATGACTTCCAATAATGCCCTTTAGAAGTTGTGGGGACCTGTGGCACGCCCCCGACCATTTCGCGGCCGCTCCCTTTCCGAGACGGGAGCTCTGGTGACGGCCCATGGCAATAGATGGCTCAACGCGCGGGCGTGTTCTCGGGGATTGAGAGAATTGGCGAGGCCGAGTCACGTGCGCGCCGGAAAGGGTCTCTCCTCCTTAGGCGCAAGTGCAATGTCGAAAAACTCACCCTGTATGGTCCCCTCGTTGCGCAGTGTGCCGCTGAGAAGCCTCTGTTCAACCACGCGCATGCGCTGACCAAAAATATATATGTAAATGACCAGCCCACGAGAGAAATTATTGAAGCTGCAGAAGTTGAGCATATATACGCTGTAAGTTCTCCTTCAATCTGTTGATCGGATATGGTATTTTCGTCACCTCAGCCGTCTGTCTCGTTTGTTGGGCCGATTGCCTAGTGTGTCTCTTCTCCACCCCACCCCCACCCCCCTTTCCTCCTTCATGCATGGAGTGTCGTGTGTATTTATAGGTGATCACGTGCAATGAACTCAGCGCTGTGTCCCATCTTGATCTGTCCGCGCGCTTCTTTGCGCTACTAATTATGCACTATCAACTGGCCCATTAGTCTATCTGCGATTCGTCATCGAACAATAAGTTATAGGTGCACGCAAGGACGAAGGCGGGCAATGCACGAGTAAAGAGAAAGGAAATTAGCTGGACTCACGGTGGACGCGCGCAGCGTCAGGGCCGCCACCCCGACGATCCCTTCGACCAGGCTGAGCAGCAGGGCGGCCAGTCCCGTCCACGCGTGCCACGTGGTGAAGTGCGCTTTGTTCAAGCCGGCCTTGTGGACGAAGGCGGCCACACAGGCGAGCAAGGCACACGCTATGGCCGCCGCCTGCAGCGCCCAGTGCAGCCGCGTTCGGCCCAGGCGCACCAACAGCACAGCCGGATGGGTGACCAGGCCGAACTGCGCGTCCGTCGATTTCTACGTAACTCGAATAAAGGGGCACATTTCTACAGTGACGGATACATGTATGTGCACCTTAGCAATGCAACGGAACAAACACGAGAGCCACGCAAACAGGATGGGCGCTAATCTTGTTATCTTTCTTATCGCATGTACCCACGCTGTTTTTTACGATGAGGCTGTCTAGGTTTACTGGTGCTTGGAACAGTTCAGAAATCAGGTAGAGATGGCATTAATGGAGCACTTTGACGAGAGGGACACGCTCCGCACAAGCCAGAACGACAATTCGGCACTCGTTCTATCCGTTTGGGACACCTTTCAGCGATTCGATACCACCATCGTCCTCAGAAGAGCATAAAAACGCACGCGAACAACAACAAAAAAAAAAAACATGGCTGACATACGAGCGAGAAGACGCAGAATCAGCAGCTCACACGTTGCTGCCGAGACGACTGACCCCGCTTTTCATAGCGCCATCTGACAAGGCACCGACTAAGCCGCAAGAAAACTGATAACGGCCCGAACATAATCTGCATGAACGGGAATTGAACATTTCAATGTTGGGAGGGGGGCGGAATCATCACTTGTCCATCACACGCAAAAGTGGCAGCTTTGCCACAAATTCGAAGCAATAAACGACGTGCCCCACGCTTCTCACGCACAAATGACACACGAAACGTGCTCACAGGTACAGATAAGCGTCTCAGTTGTTACTTCACTGTGTCTGAAAGACGTTCTTTTCGCAAACGGAGACTGTGCAACGATTGCAGTGATGTTTTTGCGCTTGGTAACTACAAGAGAATCGTTCCGGTGTGCGATGATAATTGGTCACGCCATACGAAAAAACAAGACTCTATTTACATTATTTACACACAACAGTTCGAAGATAGTCATTGGCGGACGCTTTCTTCTATGTCTTCTTTCTTGAGAGCCCACGGTTTCTTTTTGACAGATTCTTCATCATCTTATCCAGGAAAGGCAAATATTCAATACGGTAAAAGCTCAAGGTGCATGATTGTCACCGTCGCGAGATAAGCAAGCGCATGCGCGAGCGTCCACCCTGCCCCCTCTCCGCGGGGCAAAGTACGCGTGGTAGATGAGAGCACGCGCCGCTGCGTCGTGACGATGTGGCCGTGCGCGCTCATTGGGCCTTCTCACTGGTAATGCTGAAAACACGATAGTTCCCCACGAGTTGCCCATCAAGAGCGGTAAGTGGTAGATATAAAAAGCTTTCCGTTTGACCATTGAAGGAGGTGCTCCTTCGTGGTTCAGTGTCTAACGCCGCGCACCCACAATTCAGTGGTTCGTTTCCGCGCACCGGACTCTCTCTCTTGATTATGTTCTTCCTTGCGTTTTCATATATATATATAGATACGTATATATATATATATATATATATACGGTGAAACGACGCTGGCGGCAGAAATCCAGCCAAGAGTGTCCATTTCCATTTATTCTTTTCCCCATAATTCCGTTTCTTTTCCCCATAATTCCGTTTCCTTTTATTGATGTCGCAATAAAAGGAAATGGAATGCTCTGCGTGGCATAATCACCTTATCGTTGCAAGCGGATGCGCAATCAGCTACCGCTTTGAATCAAGACTACTAGCGAGGCTTCAAGACCATCGCTTTTCTTTTAGAGACGAAGCTCTTTAGGCCGTCGGTCGCTCCCTCCCCGCAGTCGTAGTATGTAGCCACTTCGAGTTTATGACTTGCTCAATAAATGGCGTCGTGTGTATATGTCTTTGGGAATAATATAACTAGATGTGCTAATGGTTTTCACAGCATATCCACGGAGTGAATGAAGATGAGTGGGGCGAGGCGTCCGTCCAACCGTCCGTCCCACCATTCGTATTTCTATCCACGCGTCCATGCTTCCGTCCGTACGTCTGTCCGTCCGACTCATCACCATTCCCTTCGTGGATATCCTGTGATTTTTTAGAGGCAAAGCACCTCTTTGACTAGCTTTTGTAACGATGTCCGTCCGTGTCTCCATGCCAATGCACCGGACCACGCTCGCTGCAGGTGCTGAGGCGGTGCCAAGTAGGTCACACCTTCCCTCGAAGTTCGCGGTAAAATCACTCTCTCCCTCGCCTGCCGCGCGTTTGGCGCGTGTCACCCTTCTCTCACTTAACCCTCTCCACCACTCGTAACGTTCTAGCGCACATCGGGTGGACAATCTCTCGGCTCGATTATCTGCGATGGGAAGGAGGACGCCGGAAAGCAAAGCTTCTTCGCCCACCAATACATGCGCCAAAGCGATTTGGCCTAACACGGCCGTCGCTGGAGCTGCGGGGTTTAGCAGGGCCTATTGCGTTGGCGAATAACGAAGTCGCGCCTGCAACACCAACGAGGTGCGAGCCAGGGAAATAGAACGTAAGACTAACCCGGCCATCGCCGGCGTTGCGAGGCTTAGCAGAGCCGATCGCGTTAGCGAATGGTGACGTCGCGCCTAAAACACAGACGAGGCGCGAGCCAGGGAAGGCGAACGCAAGCGTCGGCTGTGGAAGAGTGGAAGACCAACGACACTGACGAGGTGCGAGTCAAGCACGCCGATGGCGTTCGAGAATGGAGACAGTACGCGGGTAACACCGACGAGACGCAAGCCAAGAAAGCCGAAGCGCCCGCGCGCAAGCGACTATTCTATCGCGTTCAATGCTTCGCCTTTGCAGCAAAACTAGCTGTGACTTTTTTTTTCAAACTGAAACATGCGACTCTCAATGTAACGCTTGTGAAATGACAAGGACTACTGTACTAATTAGGAGTAAGACGAATCGTAAGCAGGAAATGAGACAACTCATAAGACAAAATCACGAGCACAAATAAAAGCCAAAAATGAACACACAAATGCGAATCGTTGAAGTGCCGCGCCACAACAGCTGCCATGTTTCCAAACGTAAGAACTTTCTATGGAAAAGAAATCTTTCTGGAAAACACTTACCGCCAAAACTGCGAGCGTGGGATGCCACGGGAACAAGAAGCCTGCAAATATGAGAAACCGACTCAGAAGCTGATACTCTCGATATGTAATATTTGAACAGTCGCTCGAAACACACTGTCTTTGTTGGCTTTTTTTTTTTTGCCGAAATGCGATGTAACGAAATGGCAGTAAAAAAGAAGAAAAACGTGTGAACAAAGAGCGCTTCAGTTAAAGCTACTCAAATAAATAACCTGAGACCTACATTATGAAACTTCCTCATGCGAACGGGTGTGGAGAACGCGAGTATAATTCGCTTACCCAACACGTTCGCAACGGCCCGTATCCAGCGCTCTGACCAGTCTGCTTCGCGAAAGCTGCGGAAATCAGTAGAACTGAAGTCTTTTACGTCCGTAGCAATTCAAAACACAACAGTAGCGTCGACAGAGGTCTTTTTTTCGTAGAGCGCGGAGCTGTTGCGTCTGCTTTTGTTTTCGCCGTCGTTCTGGCGAGTAGACCGGCAAGCACTTCACGGAGGTTCGGTTACGCGTGCTCTGATGGTGTAAGTAGCCACCGGTAGCACATACCCGAACAGCGGTCCTTAGAATGTCCGCTGGATGACGGCACTTGTATATGATGAATACATGATGGCAATATGTGAGATGGCTGTATTTGGAGTGTTCACTAGATAGACGGACGGACTGACGGACGCACAGACAGACAGACAGAGGGGCGGACGGCTGCATTTCCGATGGAGGCGGAAATGTTGCAGGCCCGTGAGCTCAGATTTGGGTGCACGTTAAAGAACGCCAGGATGTCGAAATTTCCGGAGCCCTCCACTACGGCGTCTCTCATAAATATATATGGTTTTGGGACGTTAAACCGCACAAATCAATCAATCAATTATCACTCCACTTCCTGATCAACACTACTTGGCAAGCGCCGCATCTGACGGCAGAATCGGACACTTGTCCTGAAGCCACGCTATTAAACTCGAATGCCGCAACACAATTAGACCGACGTTCATTCAGCGATCTCGATGTTCAGTTATATGCATATGTTTCGCGCACACAAAGCGCTGGTCGTCGGGCTCATCGTGCGGGTAACGAAGGCCTCCACGAACGTGTGAGCGCGGAATGCGGTTCGCCAAGCTATCGGCAAACGAGCCCGTTGTCCAATAAGTGCAGGCAGACCGAGCACGTGAAACGGCTGTAAAACGACGAAGTGGGCCATCCCGCTTCAACATCGGTTCTGACAGTCGTTTCAGGTGCAAGTTTACCGAGTGCACTTTCGGACACAGTTGCCGCGCGTATGCGATAGACTCTGGTTGAAGAACAGTTTGTCTTGCATCGGTGGTATTCGCAACGAGGCAAAACGTGAACTCGCAGTCGGAGTGATCGAGAAAGCGTTCCTTGCAGTGCGGACGATTACGCCGAGCTCGAATTGCACGGGACGTGCAACGGATCGCTTGAGCTGGACAATGTGCCGCCGTTTAGCATGATAACCCGCCAAAACACTTGTCAGGCTGAATCTCGTAGAAGAACGACGTGCCTCGCCCCGAGTCATCTTCATGTACATACATAGATTTGCCGTCTCACCAAGTTTGAGTTATCAGCGCTTCGATGAAGGATGTTGAGACGGGGAATGGGCACACTAACATAGGAAGCCAGCGAAACGATGTATTCTTTGTTGTGGTATCTAGCAGGCTATAGTCATTCTTGAGGATGTGCTTCAGCTGGCTACGCGCTGTTCGCAACACCTCCCCTTGCTGGAGAATGCCCATAGAAGTTGTCGCAGTTCAGGAGGAAGTTCATCCAAAAGCCCCTCGCAACCACCGCTATCCACTGCAACATTCGAGGTTTTTAGAAGGTACGTTACGGAAATACGGCACGGCTCCTTTCCATGTGCGCATGCGCACCAGTCAGCCGGTTCCGTATTGCCGCCTTTCCGCTCCACGGCGTGACGCGCATTGTTGGGTACGCATTGGATCAAATTGTATTGCAAACGGTCCGGGAAATACAGCAGCCCCGACGGCGCGAGACTCAGCGTAAAATGTCGGGACGGTCTCCCGAAAACCCGGACGGTTGGTACCAAGCTAGAAGGACAATGCAGTGTCAAGAGACAGTGCGCCAACGTGCCGGTGGACGTTCAAAAAACGTGCAGTGACTAGATGCGTACGCATGTCAAACGACGTGGATGTGTCAACATCAAGCAGTCTTGCACCGCTCGTCGAATTTCGTGGTTCTAATCAAGCCGGGGCCCCGCCACGGTGGTCTAGTGGCTAAGGTACTCGGCTGCTCACCCGCAGGTCACGGGATTGAATCCCGGCTGCGGCGGCTGCATTTTCGATGTAGGCGAAAATGCTGTAGGCCCGTGTGCTCAGGTATGGGTGCACGTTAAAGAACCCCAGGTGGTCGAAATTTCCGGAGCCCTCCACTAGGGCGTCTCTCATAATCATATCTAGGTTTTGGGGCGTTAAACCTCACTTATAAATCTAATCAAGCTCCCTGCACAAGCACAAGGCGAAAACCCGAAATGTCTTCAATAAACAGTTTTAAAACGTGCTCCAAGAGTAGAACGGAGCCCGCGAGCTGTGGCCAAGCTATAGAGCGCAAAAGTGAATGCCAGCGCGCTCCATCAGGAAAGTAAGTGTTTTTATTAATTTTATATAATGGCACCATTTTCTGGCACATTTTCGCATAAAAACAAAGAACCACTGAAGCGCACTGGCATTCACTTCTGCCCAGCTTGAGCTGCGCTCATCGGTTCTATTCGTACATACGGGACAACTGCTAGCGTTTTTGCATTTAGCGGCTATCTGTAGCAAACAGAAAAATACATGAATTTATAAACTGTCACATTGGATGTTTGGAAAACCCTGCTAGAGCTCTGCAAAAAATATCATGGCTAGCTTCGATGCTTCAGGTGTTTGTTAAACACGACTAATTAGGCGATTGAGCACGAAGAATGAAATGGTGTGACTTACTTCATTCATTACTAAGCAACGTGCACTTAGTCGTGTCGTCATAGAGTGTGTCGGCATAATTTTGAACTCCGGCTAAAAGGTAGCTGCGGCCCCTCTACTGTATACATGTGTGTCTTACCTCATATAGAGGGCAAAATCCACTTTGGTTGAGCGCGGTGCCATAGTAAGAGGAATATCGCGTTGTACAAGGCTGCCCGCAGAAAACAAGGTCATCGAAACGAGATGCCACGGACGTCACAGAGTTCCGCTTTTTCTTCTTCGTTCCCAGAGGCGAAGAGGGAAGAATAAAGCCTCTCTTTTCTTTCTCTCTCCTGCCCCAAAAACAGCATCAGGATCGACGCCCCTTGACGCCATGCGGACTTCGCGAACAGGTTACGGCCACGTGGTGTTCGCCACTCAATAACTGTTTTCTCAGAACGCCAAGCGCTATAGAGCTACGCTGTTCCACAAAATTGTACAGTAAAATGCCACATTAACGAACGCAAGTTAAACAAACTGCTCAATTAAATCCCTCGCCGAAGCGCCATTAGACCCAATGCTATCACATTTCAGTTTGACGAACATCTTTTGTGTCACCATCAAGGAGCGCAGCCAGAAATATTTTTCGGGGGGGGGGGGGGAGTGGGGGGTTAACCATAGTCCATGTCCTTGACCTCATGTTAATTTGACCTTCTGGATACAGACAGCGCTTTGTGTTATGGACACTATGCCACCTCTCGCGTTTGACATGCGCCACTCCGTGTACAGAAGAGGTTGCACGAGGCTCTTATCACAAGAACAAGAACCGTTGTAGAGAAAGCACCAAGCTAAAGAAGCACTGACGAACAAGGACAAAATGTTTGTTGCCCCGCAGTGTTGTGACGGAGAAGGCTTATGACACATTTGGGCTCAGTTCACGATCGCGGCAGTGCTAAGTGCACAAGCGCTAGAAAAGATTACTGCATTCTACGAATTAAGCATAAATGCTCATTAAAACTATAGGAATATCACAAGTAAAAGGGCTCTAATTTCATTTCAACCACTGATGTTTTCTTCAGCTCCTGATGACAAGTTGCAACATATATATCTAATTCAGTTCAGCGAGCTTTTTTTCCTGGGGTCCCTGGAAGTTCGTTCATTTGAAGGTTCAACGTTTACAAACTTTATAGCACGCGCACGAGAATAGCGCTTGGCGTTGAGGACAGTGTGCATGCTGTACGATGTCCTATCGGCATTCCCCTCCTGAGTGCGGCTTCTCCACACAACTTCTAGAAGGAGGTTATCTGATTGGTGGCTAAAGTCAAGGCACGAGTGAAAATTAAACCGTTCACTGCGAAGTACAATCCTCAACTTCATTATTTAAAGGAAAAAAAAGATAAATGCCATGGTTAGTTCACTAAGTATTACGGCTAGGTGGCGTTAGCCGCCGCCCGATGTAAAGAGTACAGCCACATCCATCCATCCATCAATCCATCCATTCTGCTTCAATACGGACGCGTCTGCTGCGCACAATCTGTCCTTTGACCGCCAGGCGGGCTACGCTCACAGCAGGACTGCAGAAGTACAACTGATAATTAGGCGAGTTAGCATGTGTATCGATAATTACGAATCATTGCAACACATCATACAAAATATTATTTTATGCAATAAAAATAGATTGAATATTTTTACCCTAACGCTTTAAAATATCGTGCGTATACGTCCGTCAATCACCATGATCAGTACCGTACCCAAATTGACCGTTTCTGAGCGCACGAGCGCCACCAGTGGGCGCTCAACGCCGCCGCCATGAGCGCGGGCCCCACGCTTCAGCTTTCCGCTTGCGCCGTGCCAGGACTTCTTGGAGAATTTCGCAAGGTGCAACATATTAATGCGTAATTCGAGCGCGAAGTCCCGTGTTTAAGAGAGTTGCTTGTTGGCCAAGTTGGTACATACTTAGTACTACCGTTTTCGACGTTTTGTGGCTTTTGTGGTTTACTCCAGTGTTTAGCTGCGATGGCCTTTCAGTGATTTCCATTGATACACTGTTGGACAGCAGGGCGGCTCAGAAGGGTCACCTGGTTTTGAAGCGAAAGCTGTTACGAGCTCACAACTCGGTTA